TGTTGTTGTTATTGTTGTTGGTGTTGCTGTTATTGTTGTTTAGGTGTTGTAGGAAGAAGGTTGAGTTTGGTAGAGCTCAGATATCAAGAGTGTATATCCGAGCAGAGTAGGAGTCGTGGAGCTTGCGGCAATGTTGTTGCTTGTTAGGGAGTTTTAAGGTTGTATCTCAGGTTGTCTCGGATGTTGTTGGAAGATGTCTCTGACACTCTTTCGTGTAGAAGTCGCGAGAGGATTGCACAACAAGGTGAAGAATAAGGAAAGAATATGTGGGTGGTCAACCGGTTTTAATCAGTAAAAGAAAGGGAGTGTCCTTCAAAGGTCAGGTTGGGATTTGGTACTTAGCAGACTGAGTGCCGTATCATTCACACATGGCCATTGTACCTTTTACACAGCCAAGGCCTCTTCCTTTCTCTTACCCACCAACTGATTGACTGACTGACTGACGCACGGCATACAACATCCCATCCCATCCTATCCGTCAGAGAAAGCGCCTTTACATTTGAATGTCACTGCGACTTACACTACACTAGTGTACTGAGAGCGAGTAGCCGATCGATGGAGGGGCGTGGACGGCAATTGTCATGAGAATGACATGGGTCAAGAGTCAAGAGCGGCGGTGCCAAGCAAAATGCGAAGCATCATTGCTAGTGTAGTGGTGGGGGGCGAGACCCTGGCCCCGATGACGATATTAGTCTATGAGAGGCCGGCGAGCTTGGGCCTTTACTTCCCGATCTCTGAACCCTTCATTGAACCCTTTGTCGACAACGGCTTGTTGGGGATTGATTGGCCCGCTTTCAGTTCGGTTGGTCGATGATGATCGCGACTTACCCCTCCATTGTTCTTTGTTCGGTTCATATGAACAGAGAAAATTTTATGTTGTTGGTGTTGGTGCTGGATGTGCTCATCATATTCTCTTCCCTCCAACATCATGACGGGAACATCCCGAGCGAGAGACGACCAAGAATCAACAACCATTCCGGATTCACTCACTTACACAACACTCAACCTCGTTTTGAGTGACCATACACAGGAAATACAACCTTTAACAACAGCTGCAGTACCACCCCAAGAAGGCTCCCCGCCATCATTTCTTCCAAGAGGGTTATTACCGGCCAGTTACCCGTGACCTCAAGGAAAGTCTGGGAAGCGAACAATGATACTTTACATAAACGCCACCGCACCTCGTTCGGGCCATCCGCGTATCCGGACACTGCCTCGAACTTGCCCGGTAGGTGTACGTATACTCTCCGCAAAAGTTCAGCTTAACGAGTGTGGCTTGCTCGCAAAAGTTCGTTTCATCTATATCTTGGGCCCTTGGATTGGATTGTCGTCGTCTTCTCCTTTGATGGGTCTCTGTCGAATGACATCGCTCAACACCAGGATTAACAGCAGAATCATTCCTTGTCGATCTCATGACATGCCCTTCCATGCTGCATCCTAGCGCCCGTGTGCCTCAATTCCCATACTCAGATCTTCGTTTCACTGCCCCTCTACCCCTCATCACCTTCTACTTCTTTGCGTGTCGGTTCTGGGTATCTGGATATGTACAGCATACAAAACCTCGGCGACAAGCCGTTTTTTAACGCCCTCCAGCCAGCTTGTTTTGGAAATGGGTGAGTGGTATCCAATAAGTTCCACTGTTGTGCCATCGCATGGTCCGATCGGTAGCATTCCATACATAACATGCCGCTCAACACGGCACAACGGGAGAGGCGCACTCCTGTCGCTTTAAGGTCACCAATGGAATGGATACCACGGAAGATGCATTCATGGGCGCATAAAATGCTGTATAACGATAGTTTTATAGGTAGGTAGCTGGATTTGGATTTGAGTTGCTACTTGCTGGGAGAAATCAACGAGGTTGGCTCTACATAGAAAGGGGGAAAGTTGGTGTTTTCCACTTGTTGACTTGGTGATTGATGGTTTCTGAATGGTTCCTTTGATATCACCAGCGATGTACAATATTAAGTTCGAAACAAGTTGGGTGCTGTTACAATGGTGTTGATGTTCTACATGCATTAAGTGAACTTTGGACTGGAGAACCACGCCGAGTTGACTGTTTAAAAGACTCAAGGGAGCCAAATCTTTAGGTTGTAAAACTTCCGTACATGTATTTCATCTCGCCTCCTCCTCTAACTTTTTTCTTTTTCAGCGAAACCAGATATCCATCACCCTCAACACTACTCAAGGTATAATCAAAACCTATTCCTACCCAGAAACATCCTCATCGCTCCTCCCATTTTCACTCCACCCCCCTTGACTCCCTCACCAACATCGACCGTTGGTACATCACCAAACACTCCCCCATTACCACTTCCTCCTCCTCCTTCCACTGCCACCTCAAACCCAGTAACAACCCCCTTCCCACCCAACCTCTTAACATCTCTAACCACCTTCCCACCTCTAGCTTCCACATCCCTAAAATACAATTGCTCCCCTTTTCCACTCCTCACCTCAACCCCCGCAAACTTAAAAACCTGCTTCGAGTCCCCACTCCCCGTGCTATTCTTCCCATCACCAGTCTGCTCATACCACGCCTCTCCCTCCTTTTTCGTTTCCAACCTCGACTCCTTATACTTCGGTCGTTTACCATTCCCATTAAAAGCAACGGTGTCATAATCTGGAAACACGGATGCTCCTGCTAGTGTGACGGTCTTGCCTTGAACAAGATGGCCCCATATACTTAGATTACCCGTGGGCGAGACGGAGTAGGAACTATTTGCTAGCAAGGGATACGTATAAGTGGTTTTGTAGTCTACACTACCAGCAGAGGAGCCAGGGCCAGAGGAAGAGGAGGGTAAAGAGGAAGAAGACTCAGACCCGGAAATAAGCATGTCGTTTAGCTGGTTATATCCCTGAGCGGAGACGAGGCCTTTGTTGGTGTAAGATAAAGTTTGGGTCCAGGTGCCGAGGGGAGAGCGGATGCGGAGGGAGCGGGTAACTGATGTGGTGTAGGTTATTGATTCTGGGGCTGTACTATTGGACGAATTGGTCGAAGGGGTACGGATAGAGGAGAGAGTGATTTGCGGAGTGAGGCCGTCGATGATGGTCGGTGGTTTCCTGTTATTGCCGCGAGAATGCGAACTCCCAGCTCCATCAGTCCAGATGAAGATTTTGCCCGTGACGTACCACGATTCGTTGACGTGGTCTGTCAGTACCGCTTGATGCTGGCCGGAGGCAGACGAGAATTGGGTGTCGTTGATACCAGCTATCCGGATCGTAAACTCATGGGGTTTCCCGTCCGTGAGAACGGCCAGCCACGGCGTGACGTCGATTTCGTGTTCTTTCAAGTCAAACGCCTCGATGCCAGCGATGGGGCGATGTAAAGAGGGGACCACGCCTCCTGTGAAAATCACCGGAAAAGGCCAGTAGACGCCGGCTAGTTGCCCATCGATCAGGACTTGCACCTCGCGGAAGGGCGAGAGGCCGGGTAACTCGCCGACGGTGTCGGAGAAAGCATCGGCGTCGCTTTGGAGCACGTTGGACCACCAAAACTCTTCGTTGCCTTGGCCGTTGGCGGACACGGAGAAGACGGCGCGGCGGGCGTTGCGCGGGAAGTTGGAGATGGTGTTGGTGGCGTTGTCCTTGGGGAGAGTGAACTGGCTGATACCGTTGTTGGCGGACTGTCGGGCGGAGACGGGGATGATGAGGTCGCTGGGAGGTGCGGCGTTAGTGGCGACGTCGCTGTGAAAGAAGGTCGCTGTGAGGGTGGTGTTGAAGATGCCCGTGTACTTGTCGTTGACGAGGTTGCCGAGGTCGAAGATGATCTTTTGCTTTTGCTGCCAGAGGGAGAGGTACTCGGTCATGTCCTTGAGATATTCCCAGCGGATGCCGGGAGGGACTACCGGTTCGGCGGTTGAAGTTCTCCCTACGCTGAGTTAGCCTTTTCTGTCTCGGTATAGTGATAATCTCAGGTGTATCCATGTGCTACACGAAGAGGCTCTGTTGTTCGTGTGGAAGGAAAGACTCACAAACTTCGGTATCACCAAGGTACATCAACGCCAGGCGATCGTACTGTCTCCCCTCGCTAACAACGGTAAAGTTCATCACCACCCGGTTAAACTTGCAGCTGGGCGGCGTGTAGTCTCCTATATCATGGTGAAACATGGAACTGTCAGAATCACTAGTCTAGAAGAAATGATTCTGCAATATGGTCCAGCTTACCGATGTACGGGTCTCCATAGCTGAAAGCAAAATCACGACGCATCAACAACACGGTACACGCCTTCTGAGTATATCCAGCCGGGATTGCTGTCGTCCCATCGCTATCAGCCGGGCCATACGGCATCAACACTGGTGGCGCGACCTCAAAGTTTCTGAGGACCGTCTTCTCCGCAGCAGCAGACGAAGTTGTGACGGATGCTTGAATCTGCCTTTCTTCTGGCTGGGATTTGAGAGTGTCGAGAGTGGCTGGCTTGGTAGTCTCGAGTCCTTCAACTCCATGGGCATATTTTCCGATTGATGTGGGAGCAATCGTCGAGCCATCGGTTCTCTGACATGATGTTATACCCAGGGCATAGAAAACGAACCCGGTAACGAATAGTGAAGCGAAGAGCCACAAGACAGACAAGAGAATCCGTCGTGATCGGGCCTGCTTGACTGAACGAGGGATGAGTTCTGCCCTCAGGACCACCAAGCCCCGCTTCTCGATGTCTGAAGAGGCCATATTCATGGTGCCGTAGGTTCCGCGGCGAGGAACAACCGGTACTGAATATGTCAGGCCATGGGAAGTGGAGATGGAATCGGCGGGGTTGCCGGGATATAAGAGAGGACGGAGGAACTGTCGTTCATTGCAATCCATGGTACCTGGCGGGAGACGGTTGATCGGGTGTTACCACCTTCTTAAACTAGAAAGAATGCTTGATTGTCGATATAGTTGACGAATGTGGCAGGCCAATGAGAACCTCGATGGTACGATACCACCCCGGGCGCCGGAACCGTTAACGGAGTAATTGATAAGTTCAAGCGAGATTCTGAAAGTAGGTGCTATATCCGTGGGTGGCAGGTTGATCATTGACATCCGCGTTGATAAGTGTAACATTTGGCTTTTGTGTCTCCAAGTGGGTAGGTGAGTGGGATGAACAACGGGGTAAATTGCATGCATAATATGTGTTGTCCATGCTCGTGTTTTGCCCGTGCAGCCACTTACCGCATTTGATCAGCCGTTGTCAGCTGCGGCTGCTGTGTATTGATACAGCAAATGGTACATATTGGACAGCATGATGGCCTAGAAGATTGCCATATTGATTCTTGCGAATCATCGGGGTCGCAAACTGCAGAGGATGACACAGGACTTCAAGTAACATGCTTCTTATTATGTTCTCTGGCGGGTAATGACCTAAGCGTGTACTACATTGTCATGTTTAGTATAGTGTGTCCGGTTCGTGGGAAAGGGATTCTTATTTTGTATGCAATGCAACAACCACCTACGGAACGCCAGCCTCCAAACAAGGGATATACAACTAAAGGAAAAAGGGAGTAGAGATATTGAAAAGTGTGACGGGGGTATCCAAGGCAAGGTGAGCACTTCTCTCAAGCCTTCTTGACCGTCTTGACGACTGCCTTCGCCACCTTCTTTGTGCCGATCTGGTAACCCCAAGACCTCAGAATCTTGACGACCTTGGGGAGGATAGCAGCTGTCAAAGGGACCCTGATAAAGATGAAGCTCTTGTGGATCGCATACGCCAGAGCAAGCTGGGTGGCCAAACCTGAGAAGGAGACGGTTAGCATATTTGTCCAATGGTGATATATCCCCCAGACCTCGAAGGAGGAACAATGAGACTGGAGTACTTACTAGCTCCAGCTTGCTTGCTCCGCTCCTCGGCGGCCTCAACACCCCAACCCGCAGTCTCCTCGGGCTCCTCACCAGTGCGTTCCCGCTTGTTGTCCTTGAGAGTCGTCCGGTAGTGGCGCCAGAAGTCCTGGACACTTTGAGGAATGACCTTTTCGAGCCATGACACGACAATATGTTCGAAGTGGGCTACAAATTACCAGAACGTTAGTTTTTGTTCGTTTTGCCCATGATGGAAGACAAACTTACCAATCTTCTCAGTGCCGACCGTGCGCACGAGCAAGAAGCAGAAAGGGAAGTCTAGCACGCTAAGGGCGAGATAGACTCCAACGGCAGTCCAGCCGTACTCCTTGGAAAGCTTCTTCATCCTCGCGCTGAATCCGGTCGGCTCTGGTTCCTTCGCTTTTCCCTTGGCCTTCTCCTTGGCTCCCTCGCTCTCCGACGACTTTTCAGATCGGCGGGACCTCGACGATTGGAATGGGCGTCTAGACGAGGTGGTAAACTGCTTGGGCTGTCCGGCTCTCTGTGACTGTCTGATCCTGGCCGACAAGCTCGCGTACTGGAGCTGTGGTGTAGCTGCGCTCTTGGTGGATATGTGTTGCGCCCATGTCCGAGCAACCGTGGTATCCCTAGCAACCCTCCGGAAGATTGCGCCTCCTCGAAGGAGGGAATCGGCAGCTCCGTATCCTGTCCTCAACATGGTGATGGTCTAATCGGCTTGTGGTATGAATCGGTCGGTCGTGGAAACGTCGCGAGGTGGCCCAAGCTCCAAGCTACAAGCTTCTTAAGCTCCAAGGGATGCGCTTCGTACACGTGTAATCGCTGGGGGGATTTCGAGGGTTATGAATGCAAAAAGATGCCGTCGCCAACAAGCTGGTACTTGATCGGAGGTGGGAGTCGATGCCCTAGCCGTGCCTGTCGGGTTCCGCGGCAGAAAAAGACAAACGCGTGATCGGGAACTATGACAGGATCTCGAAGGCTCAAAGGCGCAGCAAGAGGAGTTTAGGCAAGGAAGAGGGAGGAGGCGTGTCGGTTAGGTCGAACCCAATTCGAGTCAGATCTCCTCGTTGCGATGGCTGACGATATCGTAGGGGGGTCACGCAACGGCTCTTATTTTATTTTTCATGACTTCCACAAGTTCGCGGACCTCTTTGGGTTGCATGTGAGTGATGCAACTAAAGTCATTGCGGCAGGCAGCGCATCATTCCACTACATCCCATTGGTCAATCGACTGACAACGGTATCCGCCTTTGCCCGACCAACGGTTGAGTCTATGACCCCGCCATGACTTTTCGGCAGGCACAGAGTTCCAAGTTGAAGTGCTGACGAGTTTCCGTGCCACTGAGGCCGCTCACAGTTTCGCCTGCACCACAAGTCAATCCTCAAACAACTCAGCCATCCTCAACATTATCAGTTTGCCAACGGAGACTTGTTACTCGGCCTTTTGGGCAACAGTAATCTCCTCGGGCATTATCATGGACCACTCCATAACGAGACGCAACTTCAATCACGAGTCGAAGCACATCATGTGGCTGATATGTTTCCTGAAAGTCACTGGCTGTTTGTCTTTCCATGATGGGTCCGAACTCTATCCGTAGTCCGCACTGACCAGTATCGCAGAGTAAACTAACTTCCCCTTTCGTTCAGAAGCTCATCCTCGGAATCCGGGAGTGCGAACAGAACAGACAACGGGAAACCTTCTTCACCTCTCACATTTCTCAAAGATTCCTTTTCAACTTCAAAGGTCTCGACTTTGGTGAGCTAGAATTTGGATTCGCCAACGGAGATCCGGACAGGACCCTGAGCCCGTAAGACTTGGCCGCCAATCAGATTCCTCGGTTGCTCTCTGTAAGCGCCCTCGTCCCGCGCTTGCACTCATTGCTCCATGGCCCCATGAAGACAAGACGGCGCTCTTCCCTTCCTGTCATTCTCAAGGCTCACTGATTGGATACTTCATCTTCTCCATACATTATTGAGCTTGAATTAGAAAGCAGCCCGCAACCACAGCCGCTATGGCGGACGGGCAACAAGAGGCGATCTAGGGGGCTTGCTCCCCTGCTACACTAGGGTAAAGTTGCTCAGGTACCAGTGGCACCCTTCAAAGATACAAATGAGTCTGGACGCCGAGTTGACGTCGCGTCGGATGCTCTTCTTCCTCTCGTCCCTCTCCTCCTCCGTCTTCCGACTCTGTGAATTTGTCTGAATCCTTCTTTTTACACAGGCTTCTCACCACAGCCATCACCATTATCTGCTGACAGTCTCACGAACTTCGGGAAACACAAGTGATCTGCGGTCATCTTATAAGTGCGGGGCATCCATCGAGTTACTCCAAAAGTTCCATTGACACTTCACATTGAAATTCAGCTTCAAGAAGAGGAACTCTAACCAAGCTTTTGAAGCTACCTGAGAAGAGAGTCAAGTATTCAAGAATTTGAGCAAAACAGACAATCAACATGTCTTACTACCCCCGTGAGTTTCAGACGCTCTTCGTCAGTGAGGCATGGCATAGCTGACCAGAATCCTAGCCCCTCCCGGAACATCTGGTGCTGGAGGTATGTTCCAAACTGATTTCTTAGTCCTCTGTCAAAGACATCGAGGCAGTTGAAAAGTAGATGAAATGGTTGATACTGACAAAGACAACAGCTCCTGCTCAACACAGCTATCCTCCTCCTCCCATGTCTGCTCCTCCTACCCAGACGAAGTTCTCTTACCCATCTCCTCCGACCACTCAGCAGCAAGGAAGACACTATCCTCCTCCTCCTCAGTCCGCCGGCTCGTCTGCCACGCCACCGCCCAAATCATCCACTCCTTCATACCCCTTTCCTCCTCAGCAGCAGCAACAGCAGCAGCAATATCAACAGCCACCACAACAACAGTTTCACCACCACCGGCGGCCCAACAATATGCCGCGCCGCCGACTCAACAACAACAACAGCAGCAATATGGGCCACCACCAACCCAGCAGCAACAGGTTCAACAACCGCAGCCTCAATACGCAGCTCCTCCAGTCCAGCAGCAACATCCTCAAGCGGCCCTCCCTCTTCACATGAGGACCGACTCGAGCGCCTCTCGAACCTCCGCTCACACCCCTCCTCCTCAGCAACAGTATGCCGCTCCTCCACAATATCCTCAACAAGGCGAGCAGCAGCCCCAGGCTCAGCAGCAGGTTCAGCAGCAGGTTCAGCAACAGAAGCAGCAGCCAGCATCCCAACAGCCAGTTGGTTTGGGGTTGAGCACTGCGGCAGCGGCTGCCATTACTGGTGCGCCTGCCCCTGGACAGTTTTCGGGTGTTGGTGCGGTGTCAGATGACGTGGGAACGTTCAATGGTGGTAGTTATCGCATCAGTCATCGAGATTGCAACACCATCTTGACTGTTCAGTTGGCGGTTGGGTGCCCGTTGGATGCTAAGCCTGGTATGTTCTTTCACTGCCAGCTACCGCGGTCGCCACATAGGAGACCATCGAACTAACGAATCCTGCGTGCACAGGCACAATGATCGCCATGTCCCCCTCCGTCTCCCTCAAGGGCGCCTACAAATTCAGCATGAAGAAGCTCGTTGCCGGTGGTGAGATGGGCACCTCGACATTTACTGGTCCTGGCGAGCTGCTTTTGGGCCCCGCCATGCTGGGCGATATAACGAGTCTCCGCTTGGACGGCTCACAGACCTGGTCCGTCAGCCACGACGGATACTTGGCTTCGACGCAGCACGTTATCAAGGACTACAAGCGCCAGGGACTCGGCAAGGCCATGTTCTCTGGTGAGGGACTGTGGGTGTATAAGATCAGTGGCACTGGATTGTTGTGGTTGACTAGTTTTGGTGCTATTATTCGTAAGGACGTGAGTATTAACCCGTTGTACTAAAGGCCGGAGTGTAACCGAGCGAATTTGCTAACGGATGATACAGCTGACGGACGGCGAGAAGTACATCGTTGATAACGGTCACTTGGTTGCTTGGAACACCAAGTATATCCTGGAACGTGTTGCTTCCGGCGGTATGCTCTCTGGCTTCGCTTCTGGTGAAGGATTGGTGTGCAAGTTCACTGGTCCTGGAACGGTGTTCATCCAGACGAGGAATGCGGTATGTCAACCTCCACAAGATCCCCACTTGACACCTTTGGAAACAACATGAACTAACTTTTTGAAAGACTGCCTTCAGTGCGTTCATGAGCGGCCAGACAGTGAAGGCTTAAATATAGGTTTAGGTATGGGGAATTGTATGGGAGATTGATACCTGTGGCAATCAAACTTGGATCTGCGAGATCAGACCACTTTCTCTTCTTTTATCATATTTATCTTTGGGTTTACCAGCGGCGTCAATTTTGGTTTGGAGATTTTCATAGGGAATAGCAAAATGTCAGTTTGAGTGAACCGTTGGACGTATTCTTGCCCGGTAGATTCTTGGCCGCTTCCCTTCCGCTTGGAAGCATGGGATCATATCGCAATCTGGCATCGCGAATATGTGAGTCCGTACAGTCAGGACGAAAATAAATGGTCATTATTGGGAATACATTGCGCAAGGAAAGAAAAGTCCAAAGTGTTTGTCAACTGAAAAGGTGGTTCAGCGGACCGTCCTCACTAGGGTTAGGGTCAATGCAGTATCACGCTTGACCTTAGTGCTAAATGATGTCTGACTGGTCCGCGTTTTAATTGATTTTCCAAGAGCTGCGCGTCTCAGCAACTTTAGACGCGTCTCCCAGACCAAACCCCATCACCAGCCCACGACATCCAAACCCACAGCGTCCCAGGTCTAAGAAAGAGGCTGGAAGACAGCCACAACATAGCAAGTTTTCATCATGCTACGATCAAACGTCAGCCGGATCGACCCCAAAAGGCGTAATCTCGACCACCGCAAGAAACAGTTCGCAGAAGCCGCCTACAAGGACACCGGTTACCCCCATCGTCTCAACTTCTACTCGACCCCTCCCACAGCAGACATCACCATCGAGCAGTTTGAACAATGGGCCATTGATAGGTTACGAAGTATGTCCTTCCTACTTTCAACTCTAACTCTAGCTCTCCATCCACATGTCTCTCTAACTGTTAGCATCATCACAGTCCTCGCCGAACTCGAAGCCTGTTCCTTCCGTAACAAAACCCCCGCCGAGACAGCCTCGCACATGAAGCCTTTACTCGACAAATACCTCCCCCTCGACACCAACAGCTCCTCCTCCTCTCAGCTCTTCGCCCAGCGACAAAAGGATCACTACAGCCACTTCATCCTGCGCCTCGCATTTGCGTCTACAGAGGACCTCAGGCGGCGCTTCACCCGCGTGGAAACCATGCTTTTCCGCATGCGCCTGAACACCGACGATGGCCGCGAGCGCACGGCGTTTATCAACTCACTTAACCTCGACTGGGAGACTGTTTCCGACGATGAAAAGCGCGAGCTAGCTTCCGAACTGGCAGCGACTGCCGCCTTCAACAAAAAGGGCGGAGGAGGTGGAGGACAGTCATACGAAGAAGACCAAACGTGGTGCAAAGTCGACTGGACGCGCGTGCCCGAACTCGTCGAACAACGTCGTGTCTTTTTGCAGCAAGGGTACGCCTACGTTCCCGCGCGTGAACAACAAGCGATGGTCGTTTCGGAGTTCTCTTCCCGGTTGGAGCGACAGCTCGAACTCACTGCCCGGGCACTCCCCAGATTAGACGAGGACGACCGCCTTACCCCGATCCTGGCGCACTTGAGCAAGAACTTTATCACGCCCGACGCTTCGTATGTCGGCACTTCATCCGCTATCTCGTCAGCGGATATCTCAGCAAGAAACATCGACACGCTGGTGGCTAACCACCATTTCCCGGCTTGCATGTCGCACCTCCACCGTACACTTCGTCGCGACGCGCATTTGAAACACTACGGTCGGCTACAATACACGTTATTCCTGAAGGGAATCGGTCTCAACCTGGAAGAATGCCTTCTCTTCTGGCGCCAGAGCTTCAGCAAGATAACAGATGACACGTTCAACAAAGAGTACCGGTATAATGTCAGACATACCTACGGCGACGTCGGCGGCGATAGTAATCGGCGCGGAGGCGGTTACAGTCCATACTCTTGCCAAAAGATTCTTACCGAACACCCGCCTGGCCCCGGAGAGGCGCACGGGTGTCCGTATAGACACTTTAACATGGAGAATCTGCAGACGCTGTTGCAGCAGGGCATGGGCGTTACAGATAGGGGGGTGCTGAATGGGGTTAAGGAGGATAAGGAGAAGCAGAAGTTTCATATGGCTTGTGTAATCGGTATGTTTTATTTTCTTTCCTCTCCTCTCCTTTTTTTCTTCTTGGGGTTGAGAGATTTTGGTGATGGTGACTAACATGGAACAAAAACAGGGTCTTCGAACACCCTCCACAAGGAAGAACTAAAAAGGCCAAGGACGACGGAATCATGACTGCGGCGCAGCTGGAGACGATTGTCCATCCGAATGAGTACTTTAAGCGGAGTTATCTGCTGAAGAATATGGGGAAGATGTCGGGACAAGGGGATGTGAAGATGGAGGGTTGAAGATATTATGACCATGAGTGGTTTTCGTGGATGGATGACAAGAAAAGGGGCAAACTTATTGTCTGGCTTGGATCAAGATCTCTCCCTGTATACTGTATGCGGGCATGGGACAGGATAGGGAGGATTCTTATGGCTTTTATTCTTGTTCTTCTTCTGGCGTTCAGGCGACATAGCGAGGGCTGTATATAACACTTGTGTAAATGCAACGAAGATGTGTAAAAAAATATTTATTGCTTCGATGAACGTATGTATTAACTGCGCTTAATGGACATGATCAACTTCTTGTAGTTCTAACATGACACCCCATGAAGAGATACAATCATACCCGTTGACCGTGTTGGATTTCCAGCACTGACGATGAGCACAGGAAGCACCACATGAATACCCAGAAGCCAACTTCAACGCGCCTTCCTTACCCAACCACACCAACGTCCCAAAAACAAGAAGGAAAGAACAACCCAGAAGCCAAAGGCCAAAAAAGAGGACATACAACACCAGGTTATTCACCGGTCGTCACCGAACCGACTACTGGCCTGGCGGTCACTGGCTTATCGATCGGCGAGCTGACGGGATCCCGAGTTTTCCCAAAGTGCCTATGGTCGTATGTATTATGTCGTTGTCGTGTTGTCGTTGTCGTGGATGTGTTTGGTCAAAGGGGGATGGGTGCTTATATACCTACCATAGATATGCCCTGGAGTGTGAGATATCTGAAGGGACGGATAAATACCGGAGTGAGCTGGTGTTATCTTCGCTCGCCTGTTGACAACCTCGGGCTACAGGAATAGGAGCAACACCACTAGAAGTATCAAGAGAATCGACAGGACAATCACATTGAATAGCAAGAGGAACGCAAAAGGTAATGTAGAATGGGTATCAGTTGTTTTGTTATTCTTCTACTACTGCGGCAAAGGCTTCCTGAAGCGACCCTGCAACCAGCAGCGGTACATCTTGAGCTTCTTTGCGCGGTTGACGAGCAATCTACGATCGACACCAAGGTCCTCAATCACGAAGCGGATATCAGGCTCAGACGCGTCCTCGACCTCGCTGTCCTTGGTGAACAGCTTGCCAGACCAGATATCGGCCAGCTCGTCCTTCTCAAAGAAGTAGACGCGGGTGCCGTCACCACGAATGTAGAAGTTCTCGTCAAGGTAACGACCCTTCTTGAAGCGGACCTGGGCCAGGTCTCCTCTTCCATAGTCACGGAAGCACACTTCACCGCCGGGCTTGAGCACGCGGTACACATTCTCGACGGCCTTCTTCCACTGCAACGGGGACAATGCAGAGAAGATGAACACCATGAGGGCGACGTCGACCGAGTTCTCCCCGAGGTGAGGGGGCAGCTCGTCGCCGGCCACATCCCACACGTCGGCCTGCATCTGGTCTGTGTTGTAGGCCTCGTGCGAGCGCATCACCTCGACGGCCTTCTTGGAGAAATCACAGGCGTGGATCTTTAGCTCGGGGTTCTTGTTCTTGGACAGGATGGGGAAGGCCGTGTTGCCCGCGCCGGCTCCTATTTCGAGGAGGGTGCAGGGACCATATCCCTCAGAAGCGACCTTGTCCAGGATGGGAAACTCCTGCTGAAGCCACTTGCGATCCTTGAAGAAGTTGGCGGTGTTGTTCTTGTAGAACTGGTTCCACCACTTTGCAGGGTCCGAGTTGAACCGATCTGTATTGTGGCAAGTTGAGTTAGCAGACTGCTCCAATGTCTGAATGACAGCAACTTGTTGTGTTAAAGAAACCCAATGGTAAGGGCAACAGTCAGATGGGAGCGAAAGACTATATATGCTACAGTTGTCTTCATAAAATATTCAGATGAACTATGCTATGATTGTAAATCATCACGGAAGCCCAAGAGAGAGAAGGTGCAATTGGGATGAACCCCTCTCTCTTAGTGTGAACCATTGGGGAGGAACAAAATATGGATGGTAAACTTACGCTTGTCAAAGTCCGAGACGGGCGCATTGCGCTGCATCTCGTACTGCTGTTCAGCATACTCCTTGTATGCGTCATCAGTCTCGACATGGTCCCACGCGTTGAACTCAAAGACGTCGTCCTGCTCCTGCAGGGCGAGATTCCGAACTTGAAACGGGTCGCTGCGCTTTTGGTTGAACTGGGGATCGTGGGACCGATGGGGAGCCTGCTGGTCCTCTTGCTGCTGCTCAAGCTGCTGCTGCTGGTTCTCCTCGGCTATTTCGAGCTTGGAGATCTGGGCAGTGAGCTGTTGCTCGGGCTGCTGTTGTTGTTGCTCATCGGCGACAACCTGTGCCTCTGAAGAAGCGACAGGAGCGACGACGCCATTCGATGCCATGGCGAAGGACAATGATGTTGGAGGATCCTGGTTAGTGCACTGGTAAAAAGATGCAGCTAACAATCACCACTCGTCATTGAATGGCACTGGCTTTGTTGTAAGGTTGGTGCAGCATATCGTGCTGGTTCTCGAACCGCGGAAGGAACGAAGAATGAAGAGGAGGAGAGGAGGAGAAAAGATTTGCAAATTTCAAAACGCCAAAAAGTACAAAAATGGTCCAGAGCCTGTGGGGCCAATTGGGGCTGCGCGGGGTCCACCCAACTTTGCACATGGCGGGTACGGGCACTGATTCAGTGCCCTATCCTTATCTACCCTAACCCTTGAATGACCGTGGGGAGTATCACATCAAGAAGCTGTCCTTCACTTGCCTGTCTGGATTGGAGTGAACTGATGGTCGAATGCTTGGAAGTGATTTAAAATATGACCTTGAATTTTCTATTTAGCTGGAAATGCGATGGCCAACGATGATGAGGGGGACCGAGGACCAAGTGCGTGAGCTAGGCATAATCCCTCGTTCCTTCCTCAACTAAAGCATCCAAGCTTCGCGTCCCAACTCCCACGGCAGCTGCCAGCCCCAGCGGTGGTGCGTTCAAATTAGTCGTCGATGAACTTTTTGGTGTACTTATTCGACTTCATTTGCAAACTACTGAACATTCTATCTAGTTGAGTAGTCGCAAATCCTAAGCAGCCTCCTTGCCCTTGCCTGCCGCGCGCTCCTCCCTCTTCTTCTCAATCTTCTCAAGCTCCATATCGATCCTCTTGAAGCTCCAGCTCTTCCAGAAGGGGGGGATACAAGAACGGCCTAAGGTCGAATCTGTTGTCGTCCGGTGCTACGATATGTCAGCCTTGGTTTCTTCCACATTCGGACCATGGGGTCAACTTACAGTAATCGTTGCAATGTAAAGCAGGAGTAAGGGTAGTCATCTTGTGCCTATTAATGGCATAGAAGTGGAAAAACCTCTTGACCTTCTCGGCAACCTGTCTCGGAGTATAGAAAGGCGCCTCGTCACCCTCGACCTTCTCACGGTCCGCACTCCAGTCGTGGACAAGACGCTGGAACATGGCATAGGGACCAAGCTTGTTCAGCTTCCGAAGACGGCCGAAGACTGTTAGCTCGGCGTAGGTCATTCCCATGTCGGCCTCGTCGCTTTGGACGTATTCTTGGGTGATGGGCTCCTGTAATACAAGGTGTGGTTAGCATTGGAGTTCAAGTTTGGAGTGCCGAGCAAATCGAAGATCTGAAATTACTTACCAGCTCAGCAGTAGGAACAGCCGTCAAGAAACCGTGCAAGCAAGGAAGGTCAAACTCCTTTTCGGCCCAGGCAATGAAGCGCTTCAAGTCTGCCTTGTCGATTGACCCAATGGGGTTGATGTCGGCACTAGAGCAGTCATATTTGGTCAAGTAACCACGAAGACTCTGTCACAAGGATCAGTATATGTTAACTCGCATATTCGATGGACGTGCCGGACTTACCTCGCCAACGTTAGCACTTCCAAGAACCAACAGACTTCCACCACCGGGCCTGCCACGAGCAGTGGGGAGAATCTGGCCAAATTCCTATATGATATTGTCAGTATACCTCTATGCTTGTCACTGGAGCTGGGCGAAGGACATACATAAGCGGTAACCATCCTAATACGAGCCTGCAAGCACTGCAACGTCAAGTTCTCCTGAACCGTACCGCCATGAACCTTGAACTTGGGATCAAAGCCCGTCGTCTGGACAATAAGCTTCTTCTGCGCCTCATACGCCTCGTCTATGTCGAGGTTAACATGGTAGCTACCGATGGCCTCGGAAAGCTCCTTGGCACGTCCACGGGTTTCAGCAGAGCTCTGCTTGCTCATGCCCATGTAGATGGTGGTGAAAACCTGGTTGCAGAGCTCCTGGGGAGTCTTGGGAAGTTCGCCTTCCTTGCCGTACTTGCAGATGCGCTTGACATCCTCAATGACTTGCTGGTTGCCGTCTTCGATGGCTTGGATGACGATGCGGCACATGGAGAAGACGAGGGTCGCCGTGGCGCAAGAGTCGATACCTCCGCTTAGGGGAACCAAGTAACCAGCTGTTCCAGATCTTCGGAGGTAATCCCAGAGATAGCAGCCACCGCAGAGAGCAATCTCTTCCTCGACTGAGTGATACCTCGGCGGCCTGGGAAGGGTGGGCTTCTTCCAAATGTCGGTATCCTCATCCTCAGGGCTGAGCTCGAACGAGGTCTGGATCCGCTGGTACTTGGCATTCGAAGTGGCTGCTTGCAAACCACGCGAGATGGAAGACCTGTATGCTCTGACTTCCTCCAGATCGACAGTGGCAGTGACCACTTCGACATCGTTGAGACTGAATTGCGAGCCCTGGGCGACGATTTCACCGTTAACGATAATCATGGCGCAGCCGTCAAAGTAGAGACGTTCACCGTCACAGCCTTGTTGGTTGGCATAGAGGTAAACACCACCTGACTTGCGAGTTGCCTCCATGATAAGCTTGAGGCGGACATCGAGTTTCTGCAGGGTGAAGTGGGAGCCACTGCTGTTGGTAATAATCTCAACACCGTCAAGAGCCATGTCGATGTGAGGAGCCTTGGGGGTAAAGAGCTCTTCGCAGGTTTCAGCTCCAAAAGCTGTCTCGGGGGTGGAGATGACGGCATCTCCGAAGAGAACGTGGGTCTCGCCTTGGGTTTCCTGGAGGATCTTGGGGAGGTGGAACAGTTCGGTTTCTCTGGGACGCATCCATGGGGTGAAGTGTCTCATCTCTCTGTAGTTTCCATCGTTGGCAAGCCACATCTTGGGTCTCTGTTATGGTCGTTAGCAAGCAGTAAGCGGTATGAAAATCATGGGTATACTTACAATCAACAGGATCTTGCCGTTGAGCAGGATGGCCCGGGCATTATATCTGATGTTCCTGTGAAGGATCGGAAGACCGACGTCGATAAGGATGTCATGGCAGCTCTCATCCTCCAGGAGCTTGCGGAGCATCTCCAGACTGTGGGTGTAGACATCGAGCTCGTGGAAGTGATCCAAACTCGAGTAACCGCATATCTCCAACTCAGGACCGACACGAAGTCTAGCACCGGCCTTCTTGGCGAGATGAATACTCTCGACGATGCGCTGAAGGTTTCCCTCCCACTGTTTGTTTGAGTTAGGATTGCCCTGTAGATATATGGAATTTCAAGTGCTTAACTTACATCCAGAACCCATTGGTTCAGACTGCAGGTCGCAACCGTCACCAGGTGACCTCCCATTTTTGAAGACGGATCGGTTCTGCTGTCGACAACAATGTGTAAGAGAAGAACCTCAAAGTGAGGGGTTGCAGAAGGTAGATGACGACTGGAAGTGCAGGGCAGCCGGGTTGAGTCATAAAGCCCTCGGCGATGGTGTTCCTGCAAAGAAAATGGTGGACTTACCTGAAAGAGGACCTAAGGACCCAAGACCAGCTGGTTTACCAAAGTATCACGGCCCGTCCCTTCTGAGGTTCGGATGACGTTCTTGATGAGGGCCGTGAACGGGGACGACTGGGGTCTCAGTGGAAGATGGGACGGATCCGCATCACAGCCTGTCCGTTGTTAGTAACCGGAAAAGATTCGGCATCATAGCGTCTCTTATCACCATCAACCTTTCTTCGCTAAGTACCGTACGGGAATGCTCTCTGTTTGACAGTTTACATTCCCAAAGTTATTACATATTCTTCATTCGCTCTGGTATCATAACGATCTCGCCGTAATCAACTCCAATCCCAAGTTGAGGTCCACTCGTAGATCAGGTACCCCGCAAAGGTGCTATGTTTGGCTAAATACATGGTTTGAATAGCAAACTCCCAACGTTGGACAACCCCGAGATAACATTCCACCGCCACGTGCATTCTCATGCAGCGGCATTACAGCGCGTACTCAGGCACGGTATGAGCACAGTTGAAATAGCAATATTGTAACCCCGACCTCGGGACGAATTCCCCGAATTGCGACGGGAATGGCTTCAAAAAGTTCCCAGCTTTGTTTATTCCGGCGCATTCGGGTACGCCCAGTCGCCACCCTTCCACAACCTCCACGAACCTCCTCATCCTTCTCTTCTCCCTAATTACTTCAAGCTCCACAGAAGCCCGTCTCGAAAACCGCAACAATCAACCTCCACCACTCCGTTTGCACTCCGAACCGTAACACCCTCCCGAACTGCAAATCACCGCGGCGCAAACCAACTACCTCGACCGTTCGAACCTCTACCTCCTTCATAGTCCCCCGGACTATCCCTCGACAAAATGCCACCACGACCAACCCTCCTCGTCCCTCCAAGCGCAACCCGTCGCCTTCTCATACCCCGAACGAGCGCCGTCCGATCTCTTTCCTCCCTCACCACCACAACCAACAACTCTTTCAACAACAAACCCACACCCTCACACACGCGCCGGCCACCACTTACCACCACCACCACAACTACGACCACCCGCCCTTACTCCTCCTGGCTCCTCTCCGCCGTATCCTCCGCCGCCTCAGCCCTCAACAATGCCTCTCCCAACGGAAACAAAGGCGCGCCAGAAACCGTCCTCCGCGCCCGCCGCATCCTCCCTTACCCGCCTTCGCACCTCTACAATTTGATCGCGGACGTTTCTTGCTACGATCAGTTTTTGCCGCATTGTAGTCGGAGTGTGGTTACTGCGTGGGCTACTGCTCCAGAGTCAATACCTGCAGCCGGTCACGAGGGGGGACAAACGGGGGAGGGGGTAACAGCGGGGAAGAAACAGAAATGGCCATCCCGCGGTGACCTAACAGTAGGTTGGGGCCCTTTCACAGAATCCTACTCTTCCCGAGTATACTGCGTACCAGACGACGGCTCCGGACAAGGTATGGGGATCGTAGAAGCAGTCAGCGGTAATGCCAGCACTACCATCCCGTCTTCTGTCCTCCAGAGGTTCGGCTACTCCTCTTCTTCGACTTCAGATACGGAGAAGATGGAAGGGCTGTTTGAGAGTTTGGTCACGAGGTGGACTGTTAGGTCTGTGTCGGCCCCGGGAGGGATAAAAAACCAAGAGGGAGGAGATAAGTGGACGGAGGTGGCCCTGAGTGTCAGGTTCAAGTTTGCGAATCCCGCGCTGGGGCTTGCGGTTGGACAGTTGGCGGGGCAGAAGGTGGATGAGATGGTGGAGGCTTTTGAGGAGAGGGCTAGGAGGACTTGGAGGAGGTGATACCAACCTGGCTAGTGAGAAGGGATTGGAGAGAGGGAGAGATTAAGGGGTTGGTGGTGAAGTGCCTGCCTGCCTGCCTGAGGAGTTACCGGTGACAGGAAACTATATATCGGGTGATAGGGCACGGTAGTAGCCGACTGGCCCCTTGGAGTTCTGACCTACACTGGAGGAGGAGTTTGGGTTAAGAGGAATAGATTAGACCAGACTAGAAGGATGGCTTCGCGGCATTCATTGCTTTCGTCATATAGCCTTGTATTATCATTATTTGGGATTACATAGATAGATGGGCATCGTCACCAACAAATCTAACAGCAGGAGAAAAGGGTCATCATGCACGCAGCTTCATAACCATTAATTAAGTTCATCCCTTGTGCTCTTTTTCATCCGTTCTACCCTCTATCTTGTCTTAAAACCTATGGCTCACCAGCTTCAACTCCCTCTCCATTTCCAGCCCCAGCCCCCGTCTCATCATCATCAAGCTGTATAATTCTCTTCGGCTTCTTCTTCTTAACCGTCCCTTCCTTGTCCTTCTTTTTCTTCTTAACCGCCACCGCATCACCCTCTCCACCAACTGGTCCTCCTTCTACCGCCACATCTTCTTGACTTCCCTCTGTCGCCTTCTTCTTCTTCTTGACCTTCTTCTCCTTTTCGTCATCTGCCCCATCACCCCCTTCAACCTTCGCCTTGGCCTTCTTTCCCTTCTTCCCTTCTTTCTCGCCATCCTTATCCTTCTTCTTCTTCTTACTCTTCACCACTACCCCCTCCATCGGGACACCCTGAGCGACTTGTATCCTCTCGTTAGCCCTCTGCATTTCCAGTCTTAGTCGTTGGACTTCCTTCATGGCCTTTGCCATTTCCTCATCGGTCTCCGCCAGCTTCTCGTGCGGCAAGGTACCTGGATCGTCAGACTGGCTGGCTTCGAGGCTGAGGTTGCGCAAGTGGCTCGAGTCAACCTGCAAAAGGGATTGCTTAAGCTTCTTTGCTGCACGAGATTTGGCGCTGGCGCTGGGAGGATCGGGGTCGGAGTCGTGTTGACTTCCGGTTCGCGGGGTGGAAGGACGGCTGCCGACCAGCGTCTCGTCTGCTGCGACAACGATTTGTGGACGTGATTTGGGTGCTTTGGGTTGCTGGTATGATCCGGGAGCGCCGACGCCGGAGGAACTGATGGCGCCAAGGTCGAGCTTCATGATAGGAATGGAGTCGATATCGAGGTCCGGACCATTTTCGTTTTGCAGGATGTTGTGTATTGGAGTGGAAGTGCCTTGTGAGCGAGAGGGACTGCCTAGGCCGCCTATGTAAAAGGGGTCGTCGCGGTTACGCTCTGCCCGTTCGGCCTTCCGACGGGCAATGATGTCGGCGTCGAGGTAGCTATCCTCCGTCGCTTGCTGGTAGGAACCGGAGGATGCTGTCTCGGGTGCATCCCTTAGTCTGTTGATTGCTGGCTCGCTGGATATGCTGGTTGGGGCGGCCTTTTCGTTGTAGTAAGCCGCGAACTCATCGTCTTCCTGGATGGGAAGCATCAACGAGTCTGCTTGTGCCAGCAGACTGCCGAGGTTGGGATGAATAGGTTCGTCCAAGTCCAGGCCCTCCGGCATTGGGACGTTCAGCTGAGCGCCAACTGCAACGGAGTTTAACTCCCAACCTTGGAAGAGAGATGGTATCGCTTGTGTGAGAAGGAGTGGTGGGTCTTGTTGCAGTTCGTCCGTTGATGGCGCTTGTGCCGATGCTGCCTCGGCCGTGAGCTTCAGGAGCTCGGTAAACTCCACCGCCCGTTCCTGGACCTCAAGAGATGGATGGGTGATTAGGGGCTCATAAGTATGAATGACCCGCGCCATGAGTAGTGATACCATCGACTTTCGTTCTGCTGTCCAGTATGTTTGGTCGTTTCCAGCAATGAGCGCGAACAACTTCATGGAGGCCTGCAAGCAGGTTGCGAGAACCTCTGGAGGTCTGATGCGCGGTATTAACTGTAATAAGTGATTGAGTGTGTCGCTTGGGTTTGATAGCTGATATGCGTATTCTCCGGCGATCCAAGCAACAGGCTTAAGTGAGCCTGATGTCACCTGATGGGAAGTTGATTCCATCGTCAACTTTGCGATAATAAGTTCGGCAGCTCGGACAGCGGCAACTCTCACGGCCTTCACCTTGACAGCCACATTTCTGAGCTCATTACCGATGCTCTCCGAGATGTCGGCTGTGGCAGATTTCGCTCCCAGTGCTATACCGTCCAAGTCAATCTCCTTACGAGACGCAGGAGCAATCCGGATGAGCTGTGTTAGTACGTCAATGTACCAGTCAAAGTCGACCACACTGGAGTAGTTGTTTTGCGAGCACATCTTCAGGATCCTGCCAATAACGTCGATCTGATAGTCTTCGGGGAGAGGAGGGGCCTCATCTCTCTTCCGAGACCGCCGTTCAGCGCCCATTTCTTCGCTCGAGTCGGTTGACAGATCGTCTAACTGGTCATTGTTCGAGCTGGAAGATGTCTTGAGCTGCCTCATAAGCCGGCTGACAATGGACATCAGGTTATCGCTGCTGACCATCCCTTGTACCAGGTCAAGGGCCTTTATCCTAATGGTAATATCTTCGCTGTCGATGCACTCCATAATCACGTCCTCTTGTTGGGCAACAAGGAACGGGTGTGTGACCACGATCCGGTTAAAGGCCAAAAGAGCCACATATTTTACTAGACGCAAGACAGGTTAGAGTCGCATTACAACCATTCAGAGAAGTGTACTCACAATTTGCATCGCCATTGAAAGTGATCATGCCACGAAGCTTTGAAACACAAAGGCTGGCAATTTCCTCCCTTCCGTCGTCTTCCGAATCTCCGAGAATTCCCCCTTGGATGATACCGTTGATGCACTCGTATAACAAAGACATTGCTGGCGTTGTTCGGATCAGATCGGTTAAGGGCGGCAGAAGCTTACGAACGAGACGCGGTTCTAGAGGGGTGAGGGTTGCAAACTACGCAAATTAGCAAAGAGACTTTGGGTTTAAAGGCTGGGTTTCCTCCTACCAGTTTGATCAACTTTATCGCCATCCAGTTGTTACCCCCATCAACCAATAGTTCGAACAGGCGCGGAGCCAAAGGCAAGAAATCCTGGGGCCTCCGCCAGCCTAGTTCACACACCACGTTCACAATCGCCGCTGTAACGCTCGGGTCCTCGTTCTTATCCATAAGTCGCTCCTTGATTTTGGGCCATGCTGCTCGGAGTGTCTCTGGGTATACCAAGGCTAGCCTGTATAGTGTAACGATGGTCTTCTTCCTGATAGCCGCATGCGAGTGGCTAAGGCGCGGTAGCAGATCTGCTAGTACGGAGAGGGCGAGAGATGGCGTTATAATATGTGGAAGCGCCGCAATCGGGAGCGAAATGACTATTGGAGAGGAGGCCGAGAGGTCCTTCTTGAGGAGGTTGGTGGCTAGCATGAGCACTTCGGTATCGGTCTTGAAGCTCTGGACGGCGCCGAGATATCCAACGCGCTTCTGGTGGTATTTAGGCGAGGACATGACCTCGAGGACGTGGAAGGAGGCCCAGGACATGTCATGGCCGTTCATCTCTAGGTATATGATCTTGAGTAGGGCCGTGGCCTTGACATCTTTGCGTAGCTGTTAGTGAAAGTGATGGGCGCAAAACACAGAAGTGAACCGAAGAGAGACGAACCCATATCCTGGCTTTTAATCTCGGAACGACATTCTTTCAGACAGTTCTGGATGTACTCCTTTTCGTTTCCCTTGTGGTTACGCAGACCTCGGATGAGGTCGTACAGTGACTTTTCGAACCTAAGGGGCATCAGCTAAGTCGATTCGTGTAGACGGAAGCTGGAGCTTGACGCACATGGTTGCGGTTGTAGTGGTCAACTGCTGATGTTCCAGATGTTGTAGGTATGATATGGTAGTTCCAGGTCGGACACTGGCGGCGCAACCGATGGTTGGGCTTGGTCTTCGGAGCTTGGTTCGTGTCGTATTCGGTGACAAGAGTAGAAGGTTGAGGGGCGCGTAAAATGGTTTGTGGTTCGAGAGTGTGTAGACGCGAATCGACCTGGAAGTCTAGTATAGGCTGGAGATACGGCGAGGCGACGGCGACGAGGTGTTGTGGTGTTTGGACTGAATCGCAACTCGACGCATCTTGCTGCGGCCGTACTTGAGAGGGGAAGCTTGGAGATGTGGTGTCGGCGCACCCGGGTCGAGTGTTGTCTATGCGCTTCTCGTCTTGACGCCGTGGGGTTTACTTGTCATCGAAACACGGTTGCTGGATCTTCGTTTGGAGTTCAGTTCTGGAAGACGGGAAGCCAGGTTCCCAGTGTGGCACCCTTCCCCGTCGTGGTCGTGCTGTCTCACGTCACTGGCGGAATCGACCTCTGCCTGCCCGCGCTGGGAGGAGTCAAGTTGGTGGAGCTGAAGGACGGATCGTACAGTATGCGCCTGCCCTCTGATACCCCAGACGCACTGTCCTTTTAGCTGCTTTGCCGCTGAAAAAGCAGCTGCGGCACAGTGCGACCTTGTGTAAGAAGCTCCATGCTTGCCCCACAGCCATGATCCAGTGCCTGAGCAGCTGCTCGCCGCGCAACGTCTACGGATTGACGCTATCAAGACGCCAGAGAGCATCAAGCTTCCTCCATCAACATCACCTCTTCCACCACTCGACGACCACTCCCAACTCAAGGGTCTAACCCAAAACTTCAAATTATATCGCTAATATCTACGCAAACTCCCAATTGGTCGTTTTTGAGCTTGCGACCTACACCAACGACCGTTGACGGTTGTTCCTACCCCAAGGAGAACAAGCGACGTAATCCTTCGTCCGAAGTTAAATCTCGATCACTACCATCGAACTATCGCGACCCGAGATACCGCATCGAACATACATAATGGCGCCTTCGCTTCTCTATAACCCGGCCAAGCTCCCTCCTTCGGCAGCTCTCCAACTCGCACAACAAGCCCCCCGTTATCTTGTCAGGCTCGCCATCAAGCTCCGATACGGTGGACCAATGGGCAACATACGAGAACCTGCTGCTATCATGCCTCCGAACCGGCGATGATGAATCTGCCGCAAAATGTATGGATCAGCTAGAGGCACGGTTTGGGGCCGACAATGAGAGGGTAATGACTCTAAGGGGCTTGATGTCTGAGGCTCAGGCCCAAGGCAATGGAGAGCTGGAAGCGATTCTCAAACAATACGACGCTATCCTGGAAGGAAATAGCACCAATATCGTGGGTCATCACCGTCTGCCAACTGTTCTTGGACCGGAGATTTGCTAACAGTTCATTTTTGTGGTTACAGCCTATCACGAAGCGCCGGATTGCCCTCCTACGGTCCATGGGCCGCGTCTCGGATGCCGCATCGGCTCTCGTACAACTCCTCGACTTCTCCCCAACCGATGCCGAGGCCTGGTCTGAGCTGTCCGATCTATACTTCACACAAGGGCTGTATTCGCAAGCCATCTACGCGTTGGAGGAGGTCCTCCTCTTGACGCCCAATGCCTGGAACGTATGCGCTCCTCTCTTATTCGACACCCTAAGTCATATACTAATGTAGCCCATCTAGATACACGCACGTTTGGGAGAGTTGCAGTACATGGCTGCCACGACTTCCGGAAACGGTGGTGGATCCCACGGAAAGTACTTGGCCGAGGCCCTCAAGCGGTTTGCTCGGAGCATTGAGCTGTGCGACGACTATCTCCGTGGTTACTATGGGCTGAAGCTGGTAAGTTTCCGATAGTCGTCATACACGAACAACATGCGAATGATATGCTGACCATCCGCCAGGTCACCACAAGGCTCCTTAAGGAACAGACCAAGCAGGCCAAGCAAACCCACGATGGCGAGTTTACTCTGCCTGATTTCAAGAAAATCGAGCGTCTCGACGAGCTTGCGACCGCGAAGCTTTCAGAAATCGTTCGTCACAGCACTCTCAAGGACAGGGGCTGGCGCGGCTATGACGAGCGTGAGGTTGCAGTCGCCCGGGAATTGCTCTCACAAAATGGAATTGAGAGGTGAGATTTGATGCCGTTGAACGAGGCAAACGGTACGGCGCCTAGTCCAGTGACCGATTCGACATGCCCATTGCCTCTTTTGACCTCTTGATGGATGGTGTTTGGCACAATCGGAACGTGTTACCGAAACCCACCGGGCGTGATGGAAGCCGTCGTCGCAATCGGAACGACCTTTTGACGATGGCTGGGGAGCGAGTGAGCATCATTGGTACCCTTGCGAGGTACTTTGGCTCTTACCTGCATTAGTTGACGCAGTGGGTCTTTGGGCAGCGAAAAGGCATCAAGAAAACCAGCTTCACGTGGCTCCAGTAGATGCCCAAAGGCGAACCTTTGCCTGGTGGTCAGATGGGCGGCGCCGCCGTTCTCAGCCCAACCAGAAAGAGGACGCTTCCAAAGCCCGCGACTGTTGCGTTGATGCAGGTCGCAAAACCTCCCGAACCCCTCATGAAACTTTTTTATTTTATTTTTTGGGCAGAAAAAGATGTTCACAACTGGCGGCCTGGTTTCGGCGCGGAACGACATATGATTGGCTCTCCGGATTGCGTGGTATCGCAACATGGTTACCGGCCAACCAGGCCAACAGCCCAGGCCAGGACACTGGCTCATCTTCCGTTTTTTCTCCAACGCCATGTACGGGCTCAAGACGAGGTATCCCTGACGATAATTGATGCCTTGCCTCATGATGTCTTTCAAAGCGGCCATTGGTAATAATAGTAATGAATGAAGAGATTATATGGAATTCCCAGATCACCATGAACGGTTTCACAACCTCCATGCCGCATGGTCGGCGGCGAGTCGGTGATGGCTTATACATGGCAATCCGGAACAGCAGCCGATACTGCCATCAAGCATCCATCAAGTGAAACAACAAAACATAACCAGATCTTTAATCACCACATCATCATGGCAATTTGCTCGACAAGAAGCATATTCGCCTTTCTGACTCTGCCTCCGGGGCTGGCGTTTCCTCATCGCCGAGACTCTCTAGCGTACATGCGACCAAAGTTGCACTGAACACCACCATGCCATTCTCTCCTTTGAGAAAGTCAACCGGAGAAAGAAAAGAAAAAAAGAAAGAAAAATCACACCGCAGCCTCAACGACAGAGGAGACTAGGACTGCATAAACGACATCCCCAATTGCCCAAAGACTCATATAGATAGACTCTTTACCATCGACTCACTTTTGAAAGTCTGAAGACCGAACATTTGGTACTCACGAATTTCACCAACATCTTTAGGCGGTATCACCAACGGAGGGGAAAGTCGTCGCTCATCCCCACCATCCCCCCTGTCTCCCCAGTTTTAGTTCCCTTGCCGTCAGCGGACTAAACCTTTTCGATACCCCTGTCTTTAACTCCAAGCCCCTCCGAAACTAAACTCTCACCTCTTTCACTCGCTCTCCACGATGGAGTCATTTGCCTGGCCGCTTGTCTTCCTGCTGCCTCATGAGTACAGTCACTCGGTCAGGACACAAAGGCATCGAGTATCTGCAAAGACACCGTCACCAATGGGTGATATTTGTCAGTTTACGACTATCGAGATACGGTCTACTCACACTACGGAAAAGCGTGGGCAATCTAGAAAGCCGGGTGCGCCCGTCAGATAAAGGCCATGTCTATCGGTGTCTACGGTGCTTGGTGTAAGGGTGATGAGGGCAGGGTTGCCTGTTTCTAGGCACTGCAGGCAGGACAACACGCTCCGCCTTTACACAAGGTCTCCGTCGTGCTGCAGTTCCCCCAGCCTTGCTGAATGAGACGCAGCAGCGACTACCGTCTCAGGCCTAACCATGAGGCACCTCTGTGTGTGTTCCCCTCCGCCGATACCTGTTCCCGGCTCTTCCAGCATCATCCAGCTTTGCGTCACGGAAGGGTGCCGTATGTAATTCCGTCTTAGTGCTTCCCGCTGGAGGATTCCCATCTTTTGCTCTGCAAGGGCGAGTGGTTTGATCGTATGAAATATTCCTATACATACGGCAAGACGGCCGCCTACAGCAACATCCGCTGTCCTTGGAACCGAAATATCAACGCCGGCACTACCTCGCAGTGTACTTCAGCTGGTCTGCCCTCCTTCAACCAAACAAATCTTTCTACATATCCGTTCTGCCATACGGAGTACCCTGTACCCTCGATACTAGGCGGCTCTTTTTGCATCCCCATCTCCCTGCCTCCTTGCACTACAGACTGTGCATACGTTCTGCGTAAACACATCTCGTGCTTGCCTCTGCTGCTACTCTACGACCATCTAACAAGATCCAAGTGGTCCCATACGGTTCAAGTCTTGTGACTAAACCAAAGAGGAGGCACACGTACTTGAAATTCCAAAAACAGTTTCACACACCATAGAAGTAGCCAACCTTATGCCGACTATCATCAACAGTTGAGAGATTCCAGACATCCTCGCATACACAAGCCGCCGAGATCGCCACGAACTCTCAACCACCACGCAGCAAAAGCTGGCCAACCAGAAACCCACGGAATCCTACAGGAATACAACGGTACGTGGTGATCTTCTTTAATTGCTTCCTCGTGGTCAATCTTAAACCACGCCTCTTTCCTTCTTCAGTGTCTGCTATTCGCGGACCGCCCTCGCATTCTCTTTTCCCCTCTGCTGCCCTCTATCAGCAGAAGCGGGAAGTGTTCGCCCCTCTGTCTGTCTTGGCGGGATCGCCAGTTCGCAAAGTCGCGGGGAAGCTCCATTCAGGGCCAGTGTGATGATGAAGGTGTGGGAAGAATCACCCGTAGGGACAGTTCAGTTTCTCCAAGCGCTCAACACGAACCGATCCGATGACAAACATTTAAAGTCAACCTCTTATACCCACGAGGTCAAGGAACAGGCCAGCTAATCTAGCGACGGTCCGGTCTGGGATGCAACTCGCCAGTCACTGTCGTCGTTGTTGGCTGGCCCAAATTTCTCACTCTCTTCCCTACCCCCTCCAGCCCAGCCCCCCTTGCGTGAGATCGGGAGGCCTAGCGAGACAGAGGCTTCCCGCAGTCCACGCTACCCCAGACTTCTCTCTTGTGACAATTCTATAGAACCTCTCAGGCTTCTAGATGTTGATCAACCCCTCAATATCAACTGGGCACTAACAGCCAAGACCACAGGGTACATACTCGACCATCAACTCGACGTTGTGCTGTCAGATAACATCTGGTACGTTTTTAGACATGTCTTCTTTACACTGTTAAGCCCATTTTGAATCAGTTTCCTGTTTTCACCCACTATCCAAACCCTCTGTCCCATGGAACTGAGACAACCGCGAGCCTTCTTAACCCTTGTCAGCTCTGTTACATAGCCTGGAGCCTAGCTCCTCAACAATCGGCTTGCCCCGCCGTTGTTCCCCTCGTTGTCGATCTGATCTAGATCCCTTGTTCGCTATCAAAACGGCGGCCACATTGTCTGCTGTCGCTTGTGAATGTGGTTTTTTTTTTCATGCTGACCTGATATTGATCCCAGCCAACCTATTTTTCCACCCACCCTTGCCGGTATCTCTGGCAACCCTTCCCCTCAGCCATATTGTCATTCCGGCCATTGTCCAAGCCTCAAGAACAACTAACGATTCCATCTGGAAAATCAACAACAACAGAGTCCAGCTACCTATCTCGAACTGGCGCTTTGTGATTCTCAAGTCAACAACTCTCAAGTGAAACACGGAGACCCTTTCGACTTCGGCTTACTCACTCCGGCTTCTTCAAACGGGGTACCGAAGAGTCACTCTGGACAGTCTTGAGATTGACCAGAAGGGAGAAGACGTGACCAATCATCCACGTCCATCCAGAAACCTGCCGCGACCAGCAATAGCACGGGAGGCGCAAGCCACCACCACACCTCACCACTCACTCCCAAGTCTCTTTTCCCGCACCGTCCAGGTTGTGTTCGCTCTTCATTCCCGTTGCTCACTCACTCACTCACCGCCCGGGTCTTGTTACTCGCTACATACTCCGTTACCAAACAGTCCAGGTCATAGACACTTCAGCGCCAGCTGAGAAGAGCCCTCAATCGTCCCTCCCGCTCCCCCACCCTCCTCCATTGCTCATTCTTCCTTCCGCTTTACACTCCTGCCAGCCCGTCTCTGTTCCTCGCCTGCTACCCTCTTACCTCAGCTTCCAACTCTTTCGAGTACCCAAGCAAGGAAACAAGGCAACTACCGTACCGGCACTGGTCCGCACTCAAGCGCACCAACATTGTTGGTCCTTCTTTTGCTAGTTGGTGCTTCGACTACCTACTGTTAGGCAACTCTCTCTCGCTGCTCCCTTTGCTCCGGCTCTCTCCCTGCAGATTGTCACGAGCAAAGGGTGATACCCCAAATACATTTCCAATGTCGTAAGTCTGGTCCGGATCCTCGATTTCCCTCGAATTCTACATCGCGACTGCGCCACATTACCTGGCCTGTGTCTGTTCGTTCTCCCTTCTTGGAACCAGCTAACCCCGGACCCCTTCCTTCTTCTCTTTGCGCCTGGAATAGGACCCGACGATCAATCAACATTACTGTGAATAATCCAGGTCCTGCATATTCCTCAACCACATCATCGAGCGAATACGACTCATCACAGTTCACATACCAGTACGGTCACGAAGACCGCGATGACGAGGACGACGAGGAAGTGACAGACGACGAGTCCACCGAAGAAGACCATTGGGATGACCAATACGACGAAATAGACCCTTCGGATTCTGCCTCAGCAACAGCAGACTACTATCCTCGCCATCATCACGGACATCCGCCACCATTGCCTCCCCAATCTCCTCACTCTCGCTCCCACAGTACCCATAGCGCCCGGAGTCCCCGGCTGCTAGAACGCAGTGAATCTGCATCGCGCCGGCATCTCGTTCCCGCAGGAAGACAGTCTTACTCTTATCGCGCCCCGACGGCTCCTGGCCCCATGGAGTCGGAATACGGGGAAGAGTACGGAGGATATGGAGGGCGCGGCCATGGACACCACTCACAACCGGGCTACTATGGCCGTGGCGCCGCGGGACACAGTGCCTACGCCCCCAGCCATGCTGGATACGTGCCCAGCCATTACAACCAGATGGTACCATATGACGCCTACAACAACCCATTCGCTCCCTCTCCCATGAACGACACCCTCACCCGAACCAGACGCGGTGGTGGCGGCGGCGGCGATGACTACTTCGGCGGCCACGGTGACCCGCGTGGTCATAACCCGCGCGGCCATCACTACGACATGATGCCCTACGGAGGAGGCGGCGTACCAGGTGGCACCGCCGGCGCTCTCGGCTACTACGGTGCCAACGGGGGCTTCGGCACTCCCGGGCCCAGCCACATGGCCGGACTCATGTTCCAGCCCCCTCCGCCACCACCCACCGAACACCCGGGCAAGCCGCCAACCCCAGCCCCGGAGAAGAAGCTCGATCCAGAGATGGAAGCTCTCAAGAAGCAGCTCGAAGAGTTCCAGCTGGAGAAGAAGCGCAAAGAAGAAGAGGAGAAGAACCGTGAGATCGAGCGCAAGATCCGCGAAAAGGCCGAGGAGGAGCTGCGCAAAAAGCAGGAAGAGGACCGCAAGCGCGCCGAAGAGGAGAAGAAGCGCCAGGCGGAGCAGAACGCCGAGATGGAGCGCGCTGTGAAAGAGGCGCAGCGGGCGGCGGAGGAGAAGGCCGCTCAGGCGCGCAAGGAGGAGGAAGAACGACAAAGAAAACACGCCGAGGCGCTGGCTGAGGCTCAACGCAAAGCGAGAGCTGAGTTCGAGGCTGAGCTGAAGGCTGCCGAGGAAAGGCGCAAGCGCGAGGAGGAGCAGGCCAAGATCGCTGCTGAGCTCGAGAAGCAGCGGATCGAAGCGGCTGTAAGGGCCAAGGAGGAGGAACTCAAGAAGAAGCACGCCGAGGAGGAGCTGCAGCGGATTGCCGCGGAGAAGAAGGCGGCGGAGGAGGCGGCGGAGCGGAAACGGCTGGAGGATGAAGCCAAAGCGAGGCTGGACCGGGCGCTTAAGGAGACCGAGGAAAAGATCGCTGCCGCCATTCGGGCCGACCGAGAAAAAGCCGCCGAGGAGGCAGCCAAGAAGGCGGCCGAGGAGGCCGAGAAGGCGCGCAAGCAGAAGGAGTTTGAGGAGTGGCAGAAGCACCTCGAGGCCGAAGCCAAGCTGAAGGCGGAGATCGAGGCCCGCGAGCGCATGGAGAAGGAGAAGGCGGAAGTGGCGAAGCAGGCGGCTGCTGAGGAAGACCGCAAGAAGGCGGAGGAGGCACTGCGTAAGCGGCTCCTAGACGAGGCCGAGAACAAGGCCCGGGAAGCTGCCGAGAAGGCCAAGGCCGCTGAGGAGGAGAAGAAGGCTGCGGAGGAGGCGCTCAAGAAGAAGATCCTTGCGGAGGAGGCCGCCAAGAAGGAGAAAGAGGACGAGGCTGAACTTAAGAAGGATAAGGCCCCTATCAGGTTTAAGGACGCTGTAGGCCGCAAGTTCAGCTTCCCCTTCGACTGTGTCAGACGTGGCAGGTATGTCTTATCCTTTTCCTCCCCTTTTCCTCCCCTTTTCCTCCCCTTTTCCTCCCCTTTTCCTCCCCTTTTCCCTCTTCGTTTCCTTCCCAGCCAGTTACTAACGTTGACATGATCGTCCAGGGCATGGAAGAATTAATCAAACAAGCCTTCCTCCACGTCGACGTCATCGGCCCTCACGTCCAAGAAGGCCACTACGACCTGATCGGTCCCGACGGCGAGGTCATCCTCCCCTCCGTCTGGGAGCGCGTCATCGAGCCCGACTGGCAAATCACCATGCAGATGTGGCCCATGGACAAAGCGCCCCTTCGCAGCCAGCCCGGTCCTCTCGGAGGAGGTCACGGCATGGGCATGGGCATGGGCATGGGCGGCGGCAATGGTCTACCCCCTGGCTTTGGAGCCGGTGGCCCCGGCGGCGGCATGGGAGGAGGTATTCCTGGCCGTCCCATGTTCCCTGGCGCTCCTCCCGCTTCTTCTCGTCTTCCCGATGCTCACGGCGATAGAATGGCGCATCACATGTTCCCTGGTGGACAACCTGCTCGGCCTCCTATGGGCATGCCTCCTGGTTTTGGCGCCGGCGGCGGCGGCGGCGGCGGTCCTATTCCGCCCCCGCCTCCGCCTGGCTGGCCCGGTAGTGGTGGCGGTGGTGGTAGACACGCCGCGCCGCCTCCGAGACCGGCGGCCATTGTTGTGGATGTCGAGCCCGAGGTTAGGCAGCATAAGAGCAAGCATTCGAGCAGCCATAGCAGGAAGGAGACCAAGGCGAGCGTGCTGGGGTGGATGGCGGGCGGGAAGCCGGTCAAGAGTAGTAGTAGTAAGAAGTATGTCCTTGTTAGGTATCCTTCCGGTCCTTCCCCTAATGATGACGATGAGAGGAGAGAAAAGCTAACGCTTGTTGTTTGAAAATAGAAAGAAGCACTAAGAAGACTAAGCGAGTTACTTTCGAGTAGACATCAGGATTCAGCGACGGGTCAGCAGCTTGTCTAGTCGTCGTCGACACATCCGGCTACCGGTCTTCAGCCTTCATCGCAGGCTGATTCTCCCCCTTATTCCCTCCCTTTCTTTATGATTGTTTTCGAGTTTTGTCTGTTTGTTGGTTTTGGCTTTCGATACCTCTTCTCTGCTTTGACGGTTCTTACGTTTTCTCATATTCTTTTTGTGTGCTTTTGGCGGATACAGAGGCGTTCAACTCCTTCCTGGAGGCTTTCTGACGCGCTTGTTTTCTTTTTTTGTGTTTGTTGGAAAATATCATGACCAAAAAAGTACCTACACGATGTTGGGATGATGATGAATGACGGGATGAGAGATGAGAGAGATGATTGACATATGATTGATGATACAAGATCATTTGTGGATGATTATCTTTACGTTGGGGACGGCGGGTAGGGCATGTCTGAATGTGGCTGATGATGATGATGATGATGATAAGGATGTGGACGTGAACGTGGATATGAACGTGGAAGTGGAAGTGGAGGTCAGAGGGAGTGGGTGGTTGGGTTGGGTGTTGACTGGTGGTATAGGGTTTTGTTTAACACAATAAATGATGGGACTTTGGGAGAACTACATGACCAATCAAAGGACCGATCTGGTCGCCTTCCGGGCTTCTTCCCCATCTGCTGTGACAGAATCATGCTGAATTGGTCATATCTCTTTCTCTTTGCCTTTTACCCTGCTCTAGACACTCTTGATGTTTCGAACCACATACCAGAACGGCAGGCAGCATTTCATGCCTCGAAGCAAGTCATCGTCGGTATTCGTTATCGAATCGTAACGGTAAATCGTAGCCATATATCCTTATATCCAATTCCCAACATCATTGCTAATCTACTAGATTACTCAGTAGAAACCCTCAAGCTAACCTCCTCCTCCCCTCCTCTTCCTCCCCCTCAACACCCATTCCCAAACCCCTCTTAACCCTCGACGGCCCCGGCGCCATGGCAACCCACTCGCCCTCCTTCGTCCACACTCCCGCCTTGGTGTAATCCTCACTCTTGTACCCCTGCATCCACGCAAACCTAAAGTACTCCGTATCTCTCCCCATCTCTTCGCCCTCTCTCGTCCACGTAAAGTTGGAGGGTGCGTTCTTGTCGAACTCATCATTGCTGAAATACGTCCTGAACCGTTCCACATCATTCACCAGCACGCTAATCCCATCGTAGATCGAACCAGGTGGCTTGCCCCAGGTGAAAGTAATAGAGGAGATATTCTTCCCTAGTGAGATGACAGGGGCAGCGATAGCTGGTAGAGGCGAACCGAGCTGCGCGTCGCCCTGCAAAGCGTAGGCGGTTTGCAAGACCGGGTCCCATCCCCAGCGGGCAATGCCGTTGATGAATAGCCCTACCAGCAGGCCCTGGTAGAGAAGGGAAGGACGGGTTTGCATGCTTGTCCCTGGCAAGAGGAGCAAGGCGAGGATGTAATGGTGGATACGCAGCTTGAGGTCCGGCAAGATCACGCAGAGGATGAGGGCTGCGCCGACGATGGTGTAGAACTTGAGGTAGCGGACTAGTCTGCCTTCCTGCCGGAAGAACCAGGCCTGCGAGGCCACGATGATGATCAGCACGATGATGATGATTGCCAGAGCGGCGCGCGCGCCAGGTTGTTGTGCGAGGTCGTGGGGCGTGAGACGCTGGATGGGAATGAAGTCGAAGGTGTAGTTCGTTAGAGCACCGACCCAGCAGCCGCCGAGCCAGAGGATGGTCTTTTCGAACTGGGCGGTGAGGCCAGAAAGGGAGCGGCGGATGCCCATGTGGTCGTACATGACCCATGCTGCCAGCATGGCGGGGAGGAAGGAGCCGAGCTCACGCGAGATGAGGGAAGGGACATCGGTGATGTTGGCCGGGTCAGTAGCCAGGCCAACGGTCCAGTAGATGCCTGTGAAGACGGGGAAGAAGAAGAGGTGCGGTGATGTGATCAGTACCGAGAGCACAGTGGAAAAGACGACGGATATGGCGAGGAGCGCCCAGCGCATATCCTTGGCTGAGCATTTAACCCCTTCCTCAAAGGTGAAAGATAGCGGGAAGTACGAGTCGAAGGCAATGCTCTCGATTCCGTTCCGTTCCGAGCTGCTGAAGTTCCTCTGCGTTCCGATCAACCGCACCACACCACAGCCGCCATGCGCGTTGGAGACAACGCCGGCATGAACGGCAGAGCCGCAGAGGTGGGAGTCGCCGCGGTAGACGGGGGTGGTATCGCCTCCTGTTGCTGGCGGACCGCCAACGATCAGAGGTCTGTATACCACTTCCTGGTCACCCACCGCGCGCGGGTTCAAGACCTCATAGCTTGCGCAGTTGGCAGGACACTTGAAGGCGAACCCGGAGTTGGTGAAGGGCCGACACCGCATGCCATCGAGTCCGCAACCATTGTCCATCTCCCAGTAGGCAGCTCCGCAACCAATCGAGACGGGCCTTCCCCATCCCGGAATCTCGTCCACGTCCAGCTCTTTCCGCATGACCAAGGCGAAGGTGATGATCCACATAGCGATCCAGAAGAACAGCAGCCATAGCCTATGCCTCAACCGTGGGAATTTCTTCTCCAGGAGCAGGATTGGCGCATATTGAACGCCTGGGAACAACGGCTTGATTCGGAACCGCTGAGGAGTGACGGGGCCGTGAGCCCATTGAATGACGGCGACAATTGAACGCCGGACGGGATATGGTACCCATTTCCACCTCTTCCACGAGCCGGCGTCTTGGATAAATCGCGGAGTGGGCGGGGAGTTATCGGCCTCGAGGGCTTCGACAAGGGTTACTTCGGGAAGTGGTGCGTCGGGATGGTCGGTCGTGATCAGTATCGTCGCGCTGTTGGTGACAATCGGAGTACCGGTGCCGCTGCTGGAATTGCTACTGCTGGCGCTGTTGTCTGAACCGGAGGAGGAAGAGAGATTCTCGAGATCTTGAACCTGGTGTACTTGGTTGACGGATTTGGGGGACGTCGCCCCGTCTTGGGTTCCCACCATGTCTGATCGATGTTGTAAGATGATGTTTGTATGATTCCGAATATCCAATTCCTCGTATATAGTGCAAAGCTGTCGAAGTTGAGTTTTCGAGGTCCTCGTAGATATGTGACAGGTTCAAGGTCACCTCGGAGACCTTGATGGACCCGCGTGGAGACTAAGGCAGTTCTAAGTAGGCTATGACGAAACGCATCAAAACAAAACAAGTAAAAAGTCAACAAGACGAGTTGAAGTTCGAGATAAGTAAATGATGGGGGTATCAAGGCAGTCAAGCCGCAAAACGAGAAGATAAACAAAGCATCTGCGACCTCAGAGTGTCTGGGGATCTGTTCAACATAAAGTATAAAAAGGTGGAAAAAGGGAAACAAGAACAAGGCAAAGGGAGGACGGATGAGGTGAGATGTTTGTCTTGGAAGCTGAGCCAAGTTGATGCGCCCAGGTTTGCCGGATGCATCGCTTTGAGGCCGCAGTGGTCCGGATAAGACGGTGCTGGTGGGTTGTTGCCCAGAGAGACTTTTCTCTTGGGAGCGAACATGATTCGAAACACAGGCCGTGATTGGCACACACGGGGGTTGAGTACGGGGTACAGGCGCGGGAATACGGTCGAGTTTGTTAGCAACGGTATCTTCCAGCAGAGGGATCGCAGACCTAGCAGGGCAGAATGGGACATGTTGACGATCATTGCCAATCGGTCCCTGCGTCTCAACCTCTTCGTCATGGCGGAGACATCATGTTCTCGGCGTTCGATCTGGAAACCTTCGAACTGTTTGTTGTTCTTATCATTGGTGATATCGGGCCAATGTCAACAGCTGCTGTATCAAAGTCTAGGTATCATCGCCAAAACACTTTGACATTTGACACAGACACAGGCGGGAACGCCAGGCACCCACTGACATTGGAAAGAGGCGGGGAGGTGCGGGACGACTCGTGAAAGTCGAGGGATCCGACAGATCCAGAACCCCACCTTCCCTTCAGCTTTGCCAAGGCGAGGCGGTTCTAGCACCTGAATTACAGGGAACAACCCCTGTGCACCCCTCACTACAGGCGGCCTTAACAGCTTGGCGAGCAGAACGGTGAACTATTGCGCAAAAATACACAAAATACCGATATTGAAAAGTTACACTGCTACACTGCGCGAACCAACGCCAACAACGGAACTGGCCGATGTAACAAAAACTCCAAAACTGCGTATCGCGAAATTTTGATACTGTATGGTAGCGTAGAAAAGCTTCAGCTAACCCAACGATATCAGACAAGGAAGAATTGGGAATTGTCTTGAAGAATCATCATCATACCCAACTAGGGAACATCAAGAGAGGTCATTTGCGTTGCCGCTCCATAGCCTGAAAAATCCAGGTTCCGGCATCCCAACACCTCACCTCAACTCACTCCAATATCAAGACTCCATCTCTCCACCAAGAGGGGTCAGCTTCAGAAAAGATGTCGATTGATGGGCAAGGACCAACAACCATGACCTTTGAACTGCTCAAGACCGCCGTTAAGGATGGCGGTGCCAGACTCGGCCGTCTGGCCTTCTCAGGTCGTCGTACTGTCGACACTCCCAACTTCTTTGGCCTCACTTCGAGAGGTGTCATCCCTCACGTAACCCCAGACAATGTCGAGAAGCACTTACATACCAATGGCACTTATATGGCCTTGGAGGACTGTAAGTCATGATACATTCACTTCTAGAAATAGTCATAACCTAACACAATATCATAGTCATCGAGCGTCCCCAGCAATACATGACCCGCTCACCTCCCATCTACGAGACCCCCTCGCCCATCAACAAGCCCTTGAACAGCTTCACAGCCATGCCCTCCTCCATCATCACCGTTCTCGGCTCAAGAAGACTTCCCGCTGTCGCCTCCCCTATGGGCAACACCAACCAGGGCATCTCCGTCTTCACCTCCACCGGCTTCCAAGCCGTCACCACAAAGGAGTACCTCAACGCCGTCCAGTCCCTCAACCCCGACATCGCCATTCCCCTGGCCGACCTCACCCACAAGACCAACACGCCCACCTCCAAGCGCGCCCTCCGCATGGCTGAGCGCACCGACGACTGGATCAAGGAATGGTTCACCGAGATGTATAAAAACAAGGACTCCAAGATCGCAACCTTCGCCCCCGTCCTTCCCATCAGCTACTCCATGCAATGGGAGTATCTCGAGCGTTTGTCTGAAGAGCACGCATCCAACCCTGCCGGCCTCTCAGGTCTAGCCGTCTACGACGCCGACCTGATCCCCGATATCTCTTCCTCTGAGAAATACAAAAACCTCGACACCCTCCCCGCCTGGCTCTCACTGCGCCCTCCACCCCCCATCAAGTCCTTCGCCAGTTGGCTCTGGGAATGGATATCTTCCTCCTTCCCTTCCTCTCGACCGCTTCCGACGCTGGCATCGCGCTGTCGTTTACCTTCCCTCCTCCTCCTCCTGGCTCTTCTGAGTCTTCAGAACTCCTCCCCCTAGGAATCGACATGTCCTCCCCTGAGCATTCCATCTCCCTCACGCCCCTAACCGACTCCTGCACCTGCTACGCCTGCACCACGCACCACCGCGCCTTTGTGCAGCACCTGCTGTGCGCCAGAGAAATGCTGGGCTGGACGCTGTTGCAGATCCACAATCACGCCGTGTTGGCTTCCTTCTTTGCTTCCATCCGCGAGGCGCTGGCTGATGGCACGTTTGAGGAGAAGGCGAAGCAGTTTCAGCTGAGGTACGAGCCGGAGATCCCGACGGGATTGGGAGAGAGGCCCAGGGCGAGGGGATATCATTTTAAGAGCGAGGGACCGAATGAGCAGAAGAAGAATAAACCTGCGTGGAGCAAGTTTGAGGGTGAGGAGGGTGAGCAGGTCAAGGAGGGTGAGAAGAAGGTTGAGGGGACTGTCGCGGAAAAGGTGGGAGAGTTGAGGATACAGGATGAGCAGAGTGGTAGCTCTGGGTTGGGATCGGGTGTTGACTCGGTGGCTGAGACACCGTTGGTTCCGGATGAGAATGCTGATGCGAAGGATTTGGAGGAGAAGGGGTTTGCCGAGAGGGTCGAGGAGGAGAAGAAGTGATAAATAATATATCACCAAAAGAAAAGAGTGTATATTTAAGGCATGACTATGTAATTCTTTGAAGACGTTAAGAGGAAGCCATTGACCTCGAGCTCACATGCAGAGATCGTAGATGGGAAATGAGGTTCGTAATAGCATGATTATTGTGTCTTATGGCAAATTTCTTCGTACTTGTCATACCCCGGCCTACAATAGACTGTAAGATTTCAACCCTTTGTCAGTTATTATGTTCCCCTCACCAACAACAGCTTGATGAATTCAATCTTGATATCTCGAGACATTCAGTGATCAAGGGATCCACTCGGTTAAAAGCGGGGCTTCCGAGCCCGAAGAAACGGGACCCGCTCTCCCGCTCCGAGCAACGAACGATATCGTCATCTCATCAATTCACAGCTGGCCCATCCTCTTTCCTTCTACAACTCACAACTCATCGCTCATTCAGCGATCAACACCCACCCAGTCAACGATCAAACTCATCTCAGTCAGGGCATCACCGTGACTTCCACACAGAATACACGGAACAACCACCCCTCAAAAAGCAATCAACCACCAACTCAACTCAAGAAAACCATCACGACAAAAACACACAGAAATCACCATGCCGCCCACAAGGATCCCGCAACAAGAGGACTTCTCCTCCCTTCCCCCCTCCCTCCAAATCTCCCTCCACCACCCCTCCCCGCCCGAATCCACAACTGCCATCCTCCTCCTCTTCCACGGCCTAGGCGACACCAACACGCCCTTCCTCTCCTTCGCCTCGCAACTCGCCCTCCCGGGCGTCTTGGCTATTTCCATCCGCGGCATCTCCCCCCTCCCGCCCTCTCTGCTGGGTCTACCTTCGGATTTCGACGGCGAGCTAAACAATTTCCACTGGGGCGACGACCTAACGATTGATGGACGGACGGGAGAGTTAGATATGGATCCGGGTTACGAAAAAGTCACGGGGTTGGTGATGGATAAGCTTGTTGGGGAGGTTTTGATTGGGAGGTGTGGGTGGGAGACGAGTGATGTTTTGTTGTTTGGGTTTGGACAGGGGGGCGGGGTGGCGTTGGGGCTGGGGAGTTTGTTGAGGACTTGGAACTCCGAGAAGGAGGATGCGAAGGTGAGGGAGGTGAAAGAGGGTGAGGAGGTTAAGGAAGGCGTGATTGAGACGAAGAAAGAGAAGGGGAACAAAGCGTTCAAGGGAATCGTGTCAATTGGAGGGGCGTTGCCGCCTTCGATGATTCCTAGTATTAGTGCGAGGGAGAAGGCGAAGACGCCCGTGTTGGTTTTGCATGGAAGCAAGAGCGAGTATGTGGGTGAGGACGAGGTGGATTTGATTGAGAGGGAGTTTGAGAACGTGAAGGTGGTGGAGTGGAAGAGGCCGGATGATGGGATGCCGAGGAGTAGGGAGGAGGTGTTGCCTATGATGGAGTTCTTTGCTGAGAGGTTGAAGAGTGGGTTCCCATGAGGGGAAGGAGGTGGGGAACGCCGCGGGAGAATGGTGACGGTGTTTGGAAGCAAGGCATAGTTTCAATGGTGTTGTATATGGGACCGTGTTTCGCTTGATGTCGATGAAGTTGGCTACGTCAGGGCTCAAAGACTGCTTGGTCGAGGCGATGATTGCAGTTCTATGAAAATACCCAGCAATATATCAAGCATACCAGCACCGAATCCCCTCACGATTATCTATATTGGTAGAAAAGATAAACCGACATATGTCGCATCTTCACTGACAAAGTTTCAGCAAAATAATGCTGTATTGATCAGGATCTAGCATCTAGCGAACGACCGACTATCCCATACATGTACTGGTAGCCCAACTGCTTTGTATCCCTTCTCCTTCCCCCCATCTCCATTGGAGACGGAGAGGTACATGATGTATATAGGTATACCAAAAGGTATACCAAAGCCAAAAACAGTCAAAACAAAAAAGCAAAAACGCCCACGAGACCCGGCATTGGCGATAGCGTAAAAGCATTGTCGCCGCCTCCCTTTTTTTTTTTCGGGATTAAGGTACTCGGTCCCAACACGCCGTCCCAGCGATGGCGTTAGCGCACTGTCGCTGTCGAGATATTGATAATCGGAAAAAAATGGGTATCCTAGTGATGTAAAACTCGGCAAAGGCGACAGCGTATCTAAACACGGATGGGGTATCATAAACAATAAAAAAAAAAAAAAGCAAAAGCAATCGTCCTACTCTTTTTCGTGTTCGTCCTCTTTTTTTGTTCGTTGGTTTGTTTTCGTGGTTCTTGCCTCATGATGTTGTGAGGATAGGACTAAGGAGAAGTGATAGCGTAGAAGCATTGTCACTTTCTCCCGGTCCCATCGTTGTTGATTAGTGAGGCAGGAAGTGTCGTGTGTTGTATCGTAGAGGTAGTGTCGTGAACGGACAGGTGTGTGCCGTTCGACAGTTGTCATAAAGTGAGAGTGTCGCAAAGTAAACCGGTGCGACAGACGGAGATAGAACCACATCAGATGCAGCCCTTCTCCTGATGGTAGGTTATGTGTGGCAGCAACAAAGCTTCACCCTTTGTGTGGTCCCACGGGAGTTTGACGGTGAGAATTCTCAAGAGACCGCAAGCTCAACTCCCTTTTTGTCTCTTTGGTGGTGGTGAAGAGATTAGTTCTTCTTCCTCCCCAACATCCCACCAAAGCCACGCTGCTGCTTCTCGCGCAAAGCAGCACCGTCCTGGATTTCTTCCCCAACGGCTGTTGCCGAGCTACCACTGCTTGTGACGATCCTTTGGCTGGGCTCGTTGCCAAAGATGCTGAGGAGAACCGTCATGGCAATACTGCTGGCAATGCTCATGGCCAAAATACCAATCATGGTGTAATTGCTCTTGCGGTACTGATGAGGTCCCTTGGCCGCGTCCTCGGGCCAGCCGGTGTAGAGGGCATAGGTAGTGGTGATACTACCCAGGTTACCAAGACCGGAAACGAGAGCGGAGGCAGCGGCCACGCCGACCTCGCGGTGACGCTTCTGGAAGATCTCGTTCGTCCAGGCCATGCAGACGGGCACGGTGGGGCCGAGACCGAAGCCGATCATAAGCAAGCCGCCGTAACGGGCCCACGGGTTGGAGAGAGCGAAAGTGACAGTGAGGAGGCCGGCGATTTGGATGAGGGCGCCCATGGAGAAGAAGACGGCGCGATATTTGTGGAAGCGATCGGAGATGGGGGTGACGAGGACGATAGCGAGGAAGTCCGTCTGCTAACGTTAGTATACCTTCCACAAAAACAAGGACCTGGCCAAAACTTACCAACCAAATAGGCGCAAACAACAAGCTAACCGTAATCCCGCTAAAGCTCGAGTTGATCGAAGCAATGATGACGCTCCCATACAGCTGCGTGCCAATACCAACGCCTACAACCCCAAAGTACATGAGCACCAGGGGCCACAGACGCCAATCGATCAAGACGTACCACAGATCCTTCATGTTCCAAGGGCGCGAGTGATACACTCTCCTCAGATCATGATAATGGATCAACGCATCTTCGCCTTTCAGCGCCTCAGGGCTAGTAGGCAACCACCTCAACCACTTATGCCTAACCCTCTGCTCTCCCGGAGCCAGGGGGCGATCGGGCAACCAGAAAAGCAAAGAAATACCCAGCGCAACGCCCAGCAGCCCATAAACGAGGAACATCCACTGGAAACCAGTCAATCCCCTTAGCCCGTCCATCTTCTGGAACCCAGCCGACACCAGGCCGACCACGGCCGCCGACAGCTGCGCCGCGGTATAGTACATGCCGATTCTCTTGCCGGTACGAGAAGGAGGATAGAACAGTGTCAGGTAGTAGGACATGCCGGGCCACATACCCGCCGTGACGACACCCAACAAGAAGCGGAGGAATTTGACGCTCCAGGGGGCTTTGACGGCCGTGAAGCAAGTGCCGATGAGTCCGACGGCGAAGACGATCCTAGCCATCCAGGCGCGGGGCGAGAGTCGGCTCATGACGAGGTTCGAAGGCAGGTCGAAGATGACGTAGGAGACGTAGAAGAGGGCGAGGGCTGTGGAGGTGTCTTTGGCGGTCATGCCCAGGACGGTGACGAGGTCGTGGTGGACGTCGCGGTTCATGGTCTGGGCGATGCCGATGTTGGAGCGGATGGCGGAGCAGAGGAAGTAGAGGATCCAGAAGGCGGGGATGATGCGGAGGTCGAGTTTGCTGTGGTCCCGGGTCAGTGATGTGGTGAAGATAGTGGTGATATGACGATGGATAACATACCGGTAGACTCGTTCGACCTTGTCGATGTCATATTGGAACTGTTCAGGCATGGAAACTTGGCCTTGCTCTAGCTGGTGAGCGTCATGACCACTACCACCCTCACCCTCTGATGTGAGCTTGGTTGTGGGATAAGGGACAACGTGTATGACATGTTCCCCTACAGGAGCGTCTGAAGGGTTCTGAGCCATACCGAGACGAGAAAGCAATGGAGGTGCGTGCTAACCGCCTGTTCTGGCCAGAGTATAGTGTTGGCGGTGAGGTATGGGATCAGAGGAAGAGGGAAAGATGGGGGAGTGTGTTGGTGAGGTTGGCTGAGGTGGATGATGGTTCTTGAAGAGATGAATAACAGTGAGTGGGAAGATGGAGGTGCTTTATATGTTTATCTCTATGCTAGAATGACTCTTCAGCCCCGGCCAAGAGAGGGTCGGAGGTGTATGTAAGTCGGGACTCGAGGCGACGTTGAGGCGGTCCGCGGATCGGCTTGATGGAGCCCCGGAGGAGATACCCTGATGCAAGTTGGAAATACTATGACAAAACGGAACCCCCTCGGAGGTTGGGCCGAAAGTAAACAATGGATCGCAAATTTCATACAACATGACAATATTCCCAAAATCCAAAATGTCCGCGGACAGAATTCGGGTTCGGAACCCGCGCGCACCTTCCCCCAACTTTCGACAAGATGACACCCACCTGCGTCGCCATTGCTGTTGTCCAACACTCACTCAACACAGTGATCAACACTGAAGAGGAGGGCGTGGAGGGGCACTCAACACAAAATTTGCTCAACGATAGCGGCGTTTGAGAGTTTCTTCAGTGACTGATAGTGGATTTCTAGGCGACCCCACCACCACGGGCAGATCCACCCCCACGTTCCCACCCCTTATGCCGAGCTCCATGGCAACTTCTGCCGTGATTTGTGAATTGCTTCTTCTTTCGCTTCTCTGTAGCATTCTCCGACAACTTGCATCTCGGCATTGTGCAACTAGAAAGGTAAACTTTAAGCGACCAAAATCTTCGACTTCACCTGACTCATTCCCAAGCTTCAACATCATCTTATTCTAACCCCAAAGCCGAGTATGCATTCAACGCCAGCTGTCCACCAAGGTGCGCATACAGCACATTGCTGCCCTCCTCAATCTCCCCCTTCTTGATCATATCCATCATGCCCGCCAGACTCTTCCCCTCATACACGGGATCAGTAATAAACGCTTCCGTCCTCGCCCCAAACTTGATAGCCTCAATCGTCCTCTGATCCGGCACGCCATAAACTCCCGCATGGTACCGATCATCCAGCACGATATCCTCCTCGGTGATATCCTCCTCTTTCAACCCGATTTTCACGGCAGTCTGCTTCGCAATCCTCAACACCTGCGCCCTCGTCTGCTCAACCTTGGCTGAAGCATCAATCCCAATCACCCTCCTCTTCCTAACATTCCCACTTCCATTCTTCTCCCGTTCCAACTTCTCAACAAGTTTAAACCCGGCAACCATCCCCGCCATCGTCGACCCCGTTACCGCACAAACAACCACCGTATCGAAATAAACCCCGTCCAACTCCTCCTCCTGCGCGACAACCTCAAACGCCCACCTCGCAAACCCCAATCCTCCCAGGGGATGATCCGATGCTCCAGCCGGGATATAATATGGTTTTCTCCCTTCCTTCTCCAGGTCATCCTTGAGTTTCGCCAACGTCTGCTTATGCTCGATCCCGAACCCGGCTAGCGGTTCAAGCCGGACGTCAGCCCCCATGAGCCGCGAGAGTTGGATGTTGCCGACTTGTTCGTAGCCGGGATCCATCCAGTCGGGTACCCAGTGTTCTTGGACGAGAGCGGCGTGCAGGCCGAGTTTTGCAGCGGCGGCGGCGACTTGGCGCGTGTGGTTGGATTGGATGCCACCTATCGAGACGAGGGTGTCGCACCCTTGGGAGATGGTGTCGGGGAGGAGGTATCTGGGGGCTTTCGTCAGTGTGTTTCTTGGTGAGAAAGAAGAGAGGGGGTGTCGCTCACTCTAGCTTCCTGGTCTTGTTGCCTCCAAAGGCAAGACCAGAGTTGAGGTCCTCGCGCTTGGCGAAGACATTGACCTTTCCACCCAGAGCTTGAGAGATGCGGGGGAGAGGTTGGATGGGGGAAGGGCCGAAAGTCAGCGGTTCCCGAGGGATGCTGGCGAATGGCTCGGGAAGGAGTAATTCGGCCATTTCTTTTGTCGAAGTTGTCAGTTTGTGGATGATGTTACTGTAGCTTCCTCCGAATCGACTCTAGCAATCCTGAGAAGAGGCAAAGGTAAGTTATCGTAGCCGAGTTGCAGCTCGAAGATCTTATACCTATCATAGGTAGAGGTACACCCCGAACATGAACCGCGCATGAACTTCCCCCTCTCCTGCCTTGCTTCCTTGCTGCAGGGAGCTCACTCAGAACCACTGAAGAGGAAGGCGCCATCTTCTAACTCGTCTTGGCTTCACATGCCTGCCTTGGAAGTCGTATGCTTGGGTATGCATCACTGAGCCGCTTATCCGGTATGCCCTGGTCGGGCAGCTGAAAGCGACATCGTCTCGGCATTATCCGACGATAGACCTCGCGTACATTGACCAAGTATGGTCTAGGTTTGGAATACCTTCCATGTTCCAAGAGCATGCCGCGTAAGCTGATCGTTGTTACCCAGCTGTGCTCCTGGTAAGGTGATGTGTATCTTGTCTTCTGCAAGGCTCTCATCTCTCATTCCTTCGGTTTCGGTTGCTCAGCAGAGCCTCAATTTTGAGACATGCTTTTCGGAGTTCCTGGCTTGGGTGTCTATGGTAGCCGATTCGGGCTTATGTCACGAATCTTGATTGTACGTGCGCTTCAGCAAGATAATATCGTCCTTTTGGCTTGAGTCATCGCAGCCCAAAGGAGATGGCATACCGCTCAGCTAAAGACTTCTGGGTCCGGCTCGTCTAGCCTTGAGGAAGATGATAGGGGTAGTCCTTGCATGTAAAGACGTATGAGACTGTCATATAGCTGACTAGGAAGCAATTCTCAGTCGCAGTCTATTCTCCTTTGGTCTAGTTTACACCTCATCACTCTATCGTTCTCCAGCACAAGTTATCACATCTGGCCTTGTCTCAGGTCGCTTCTTAGCCTCCTAAAATGTTCTTGACACGAGCGGACACCGACCTATCAGAACTCATACTGTGAGCCTCAACATCATTATCAAGATCTTGGATCCTAGCGACGGGAGTGATCCTCCAAGATTACTGAGAGACATTCCAAGATTTACCTATCACATTTGAGGAGATATCATGGGAAAGGTAATCTTATTCTCTTTCACTTCCGCATGGTTACCGGCAGAAATGTGATGAAAAGGGAACAGGGGAGTCATAAAACTCCAAGCTACCACGTGAGTTGATGGTTGATGACAGAAGGCGTTGTGGTTATGTGATATTCTGTCTGTAATGGTCATTCATTAATCGACCGTCATTGATGGCAGCGACGATAATCTTGGAGAGCGCCACGTGAATCGCGACAAAGAATCTGCAATCAGGGCCAAGGGGTGAGATCGTATGTGAGATGAGATGAGAGCGACTGGAACGTAAATCCATCACTATCACCATCGGCTTGGTCGCGCTCTTTGTTGTTTTTTATCTTTCCTTTCCAATCTCGGGCAGTCATCAATGTTTCGTGGGTCATCGCCGACCATGAACTCGGCCCTTCTCGGGTTGAACTCCTCAACGACCCGGCGAAGCACTGTCCACCATGTCCGTCGATACAGGTACTGTATACTCATCTCACCCGTACCGCGTCGGACTCCAGATCGAAGCGGCCTTACGGCCCGGTGTTCAGTCCTTTTGTGATGCGCAGCAAGGAATAGTGTCTTCCTCTCCGCCGTGCCCTTTACAAAAAGCAAAAAGATGCAGAAATGCGTGAGGAAAGCCCGCCGCTCAGCCCAGTGAGTAATACGCAAGCACGCGAGAGCCCTGCTAAGTATGCAAAGAAGAAAGACAAAGAGGAAAGTCCGGAAAAGCAAACATCCAACTATTTTATCTTGGCTTCTTCCATGCATCGCCTTGCATTGTCAACGGTGCCCCAGCCCTTACACTTGATTGTTGTCGCTTGCCCTCCCCATATTCCCAACTGTTGCCTTTGTGCAAGGGAAAAGAAATGAAGAACACGGGCAGTGACGGGGAAAGGAAAAGCATGGCAACCTACCAGCGGTCCACGAGAAGGGATGTTTGCTCCCTTTGAGGCCCTACTTACCAGTCTTGGTACCACAAAGCCAATATATAGCTGGAGCCGGCGGGAAGGGACCACACCTTCTGTCCAAACATCATCTTTTCCTCAACCAGGGAAACACATGTTTTTAACGTTGCGCTTCGTTGCGTTGCGGTGTCCATCCGTAGCGTGGTGTCTAGAGGTAGGCGTGCGAAACGGCTGGCTACTTGTACATGACGGGAGGTGGCATGGAAATATGGAATACCTATATGGAGCGAGCGTGATTCCCTTCTTGGGGTGCAGATCTTCGTGCACGAGTTATATTAGAGAAGGCATCCAGAAGCGGCCGACAATATGTGACTCCAAGGTCTTGCGCCTTTGGGGACTCCATCTTGGGCCGCTGTTGTGTCGCTTGTGGCTTGGTGTTCTCTTTAACGAACTCCCCTTTTCGGAAGGATGGGGGAGAATGGTGGATATAAACTTATTCTTAGCATTGGCCATACTTCCCGAGAGGCGTATGCTGTCATGTTCGCCAGATCAGGTCGTTAGTTTGTGCGACTACTGCATTGTCGTGATTGAGTGTACGCTAACACCTGACAGTGAGCGCGGATATTAGAGAGGAAAGGTGACGTCGTATCTTGTCGACTCGATTTGATTGATACGACAACGCCTCCGGTTGGCGAGGTGTCGTTGTCGTCGTCGTCGTCGTCGTTGTCGGATGCACAGCGGGTGTTATTATCGTCCGGGGTGCCCAGGCCGGGGATACCGATAGCGATAAACGACTTCGCTCGTTAATGTCTGACCATGACGACCTTGTCGATACCTCGCTCGTAATAATTGAGGAACGCGGTGGACAAGTCTGGACAATTCTTTCGTCTGTCGAGAAGTGGGTGAGATCTGCCGTTTTCTATTTTCTCCTGAGGGGGTACGGGGCTGCTGGTGGTCTGTTGCAAGATTGGCAATACCTTTTTCGGGGTTCGACAGTGGAGTTGTTGGAGAAACTCTCGGGAGCTTGTTCCTGGCCGTTTAACTTTTGGACCTGGAATCCATTTCCCACAATGCCGTCCTCCAGGACCATTGTGAAAAGGAAAAGATCCACTCGGTTCATTTCAGACCTAAGCTTCGAGTTCAACGGTCCAACCCCACGATCAGGTGTTGGGAAGCTTTCTCTCCACTGTTCCGCACACTCCTGGTCTCCCCGGCTGGCCGAACCAAGGGATTCGGTACCATCAAGTCGGGATCGTGGCTCTTTGGTCTTCTGCCTGATGGTGGTGCGGTTGCGGTTGCGGTTGCGGGTTTGTCCATGCTGAGGGCCCGTGCCGTGGTGGCTTCCTTGCGTGACAAACATGTCAAGACTTCCGGGTTGCCAATACGAGAGTTGAAGGTATGCCGAGGGAAGCAAACAAAAGGATTAAGAGAATGGATGTGCGCCAATAACGCCTTCTTGCCTTGTTCTCATCCAAGGATCCCAACATGAAGGGAATGGCAGCAGACAGTCACCCGATGGGCGGCGGGGACTGCTCCAAGCCGGCGAGTGGTGTCGTGTCTGTGGAAAGACGTTGGAGAAACAGGCATCATGCCGGGAAAAAGAGGTTCATCTGAAGTTACAGTGTACACTAGAGGGGACGAAAAAGGGATATCCCGAGAACGAGATGGAGACGAAAAGCATCTTATCTTGCGGTTGGTTGTGATGGTGATATTTCGTCTCTTTGTCTCGTCTGCAAGATGGGGACAAAACATACTCCGACAGAAGCAAGCTCAACCTGCAGTTTCTGATTGCTCGTGCCGCAGCATTTTGATGATTGGTGTTTTGGGTGTCTCAGTCGTCACCATTGATCAATGATCCCACCTTCTCCAGACTTGTGACTCCGCAGGACCTCCGGCTTCGAAGCAGCTGTAGGTCCGAGCACCACACTCTGCGCAATGTGCTTTGATCACTCAATGCTACCCTGAGGTTATCGTGGCCGACGCCGACTGTCACCTGAACAAGCCGGATTTTTTTGGGCGGTTTCGAGTCGCCATAGTGGCGACCTGCAACGGCGAGCTTTTCTTTTTCTTTTGTCCCTTCGAGCCAGATGCATTGCATTTGGCGGTGGATGTTTGTTTCGATGACGATTCTGAACATTTTCTTTGCTTTGCTTCCACTTGGCGAAATGAACGAGACCGTTCCGTGGCAGCTGGTACCTGAATTCAATAATTTGACAGCGGACGTGGGGCAGGCACGACTCAGGCACAGGGTGTCCAGTGTGCAAGGGCCCCTGCCGTTCCCAAGCAGCTAGTGATCCACCTTTGCCGGTTGGAGTGACCCCACTTCGCTAAAGTGGGTGGGTCCTTCAACACAATCCGTAATCCCTTGGCTTCACTTTTATCCCCGCTGGAGGCAGGAACACACGGCACAAAAGGAAAGAGAAAGAGACGGGAGATACCTAGGAGGCGTGAGATGGATATCAAAGGAAGGCACGGCTCGAGATTATATGAGGTACCGATCTTGTGATACCAACAATGAACCGAACAATTAATCATACCACCGGATGACAGCAACAATACGAACACCATACCCTATTCCCTTCAAGCGAAATGCCGTGGGACAATGAAGAGCAGGAAAGCTAGGGAGAGCTTGGCCAACTTGGCTAGCGTCAGGCCCTGAAAATCAATGCTGTTGCTGGAAGGAGGGGATCCCCAATCTTAGCACGCTAGGCCGTTTTATAGCAATTATAGGTCCCGAAGTGGGTGAGGCCAAACCGTTGCTGGACCCTTCTAACCCTCCGGGTAACACCAGGTAACCACCCCCGGCTCCTCCCCAGCCCAAGAATACAGGGCTGCAGTGGCAGACAGTCGAGCAGGAACTGGAATCTTACACATTTCAATGAAGGAACGGCATCGTACAAGGGAACATTCGCAGCCCCGGCTTTAAGTTGTGAACACCGGACAACGCCCCTGAGCGAGGTTTCTCCAGATTCCCCCATATGGGCTGCAGCTTGTCATCTTTTTTTCTTTTCTCACGACTACCGATTCTTCCCTTTTGCCATCATCATCGTCGCCGTCGTTGCTTTGTGTTCACCCACCAGCTGCCGACAGACCGTATCGCCAATCTCGATTCAAGACACTCTCGGGTATTGGACACCGGGGAGGCCTTGTAACGCGAAACGAACGAACGATACGCAGCATGACAAATACAGCATCATTACACTGGCAGATTGGAAACCATCCGAACTCAAGGGCCGCCTCGTCTTCCATTCCAACCTTTCTCCTTTCAACTTTGACTTCATCCCATTCCATGCAGCATCTGTTCTATTACACACGACCACAGCATCACCATACTACACAGTAGTCGTGATCCGTTCTTGTAACATTCTATTCTTGGGTCACTCGCTACAATTTCTCGCTTTTTGCGCCCTTGCGTTATCCGTCCTCCCTCATTCGGTCATCAGCCAGTCGATTTCTTGTGTAATTTCACCACACCATCATCCACCTCGTCCACCCATTTTCGACCTTGATCGGAGAATATCTCCTTCACTCTACACGACAGAGTCAGCAGCCAGGACTAATTGGTTCATCCTCTCAAGGTGCGTAGTTCCATTCGTCGTCACAAGGTCGTACGGGGCGCACATTGGGACAGTCTGGGGGGAAAGGGAGTCTGGGACATGTTATGTTGGCAAATACATGGAAGCCCCAAGGATGGGATGGGAAAACAGGGCCAAACGGCTGGCTGCCTCGCCTGCTTGCATCCCGCCTGTTTTGTGTCGGTGCCGCAGAAAAGGAAGCGTCAACACACATCTGGTCATCCGAATCTCCCGTTGTTCACTTGTTTCGCTGCAGAGGACGTACAAAGCCCAGAGTAAATTCCTCTTCCCAGCAGCACTCAGCCATGTTTGTCGCATCCCGGTGCCGCTTGGTCGCATCTTGACTGAGGTTGGAGATGGCTTGACACGGCAGCACCGAGTTGTGGTCTTCTACCGCCGCCGTCTTACACCATCTCCTTGCTCTCCTAGCCATACATTGGCTATATACTCTTCCCTAGACTCCCATCTTTATGCCATGCCATCCTTCTCCCGCCAAACGTGTTTCAGCCTCGGCGCCGGCTGCTCTATACCTCTTCCATCTTATACGCCATCAGCTTTATGCCTGCGAACAGCTCGACTGACGAATCAGTGCACAAAAGCAGCCTCCCGCCCCCTCCCCTGCGAGATATATCACCTCTTCTGGATCATTCCTGGTCCCCTGGTTTCACCCTACCGCCCACTCGCCATACAATATCAATATACAGCCGCCTTGGCCCCTTGCTTGCTTTCTTAATTCTTGCGGTTTCCCAACCCTACGAATGCTCGGCCCTGTTGTGCTCCCTCGCTGGCCTGACGCCTCGTCGAGCTAGCTACCTGTCGTGTTGCCGGAACACCAGACGACGACCTGCATCCCGCTAGTAATAGCAATTCCCTAATCAACACCCGAATACCAGCTGCATTCTTGCATCGTGTACAAACATGGCTCCCTCGTCAGACCAGGCCATGTCTCGGCCGGAGTCGGCCATCTTTTCTCCCTCGATAAAGACACACTCCCGCTCGAGAGCCCAGAGTATATCGAGCGACAGACCGTCTACCATTGCGGCCAGCTTAATGTCACCCCCGCTGACCGTGTCCCCTGAAGCGGCCTTCATCGCCGCCTCGGCTGCTTCGCAAATCGTCACCAACGACCACGACAGTCATGCCGACGCTTTACTCGATCAACATGGCATCGAGCCATCCAGCGAACCCGCCCTCGTCTCTCCAGCCGCCCTACACCTTGTCAACAACTTTCTCGATCACCTGCTGTTCAACTTCATCTCAGTCGCACGCTCAGCTACCCTAGCTTCCCTCCGCCCAGCCATAACCGAAGTCCTCAAGCCAAAACTTGCCAAAGATGTCATCAACCAGGCGGATGAGGAGTTGCAGGAATACATGGGTGACTCTGAGGAGGATGCTCCGAATCCCAGCGCCGCCAAAGACTGGGACTTGGAGCTGATCTGGAAACGGACGCGGCTCCGATGTATGGTATACTCGTCACTCGGTGACATGGAAGAGGAGGACGAGGACTATTATATGGAGAAGGAGCTCCTCAGCCCACGGCAGGAGGACCAGACTTCTGAATTGGTGTCTTCTGCTGTCTCCATATTCTTGACCTCAATCATTGAATACCTGGGAGAACAAGCGCTGATCATTGCGGGGCAGGCCGCCTTTCAACGCATTCGTGTCAAGTACGAGAAGGAGTTGAAGGAGGGCCTGCGCAAACCCGGCGAGTCAACCGAACAAATTGTGGTCCAGGAATTTGACATGGAGCGGGTCGCGCTTGATCGTACTCTGGGAAGGCTGTGGAGGACGTGGAAGAAAAAGATTAGATCTCCCGTGATCACCATTCTAGACAGAGGCTTGTCCCACTCCTTTTCGAGGGACTCAATGCGCTCGTCTCGTGCAACACCGACGCACTTGCGCTCGCCCAGCGTCACAGAAACCCCAGTGACCCCAGTACCAGAAACCATCCCGGAGCCTGCGAACGAAATAGAAACCAAGGTTGATGCGAACAAGACCGAGACCAAGGAGACAGCCAAGGAGGAAGATGTGGAAGAGTGTCTGGTTGCTGCCGCCATTCCTTTGCCAATGGGTGATAATGACGTGGAAGAGATCCAAAGCACTGGTTTGTCAGTTCGATCTCGGAGCAGAGACGGAGCAGAAGAGAGAGCTGCTCGGAAGAGGAAGGTGCGGCCACAGAGCTTGATGGTCTGGCCCGTGGCCAAGCCTGCTAACCCGCCCACTCCTACTCTATCGCCATCGCATGCTCCTCTGTCAGCTTCGAAGAAACGCTCCAATTCGCTCCCAACACCCACTGCCACTCCCAGCGGTTCGCCCACACGAGCAAAGGCACAGGCGAGCGAGCTTGTACCCCTTCCCGCAGCTGATGAAAAGGATGTCGAACAGTCTCAGATTTCAGACGACAAGCAACCGGCACAGGACGACAAGTCAAATGTCCTTGAAGATGCAACAATGACCCCAGTTGGAACTTCGCTTGTGGATGCCCCTGCCTCTCCACAGGAGGCCGAGGCGGCGCCTCAAACGCAGAAGTCCGGTGGTGTTGCAACCGATGATGAGATCAAAGTTAGCGATGAAAACGAATATGACGATGAGTCTATGGACGAGGAACCACAGATTCTCACCTCGTCAAGGATATCCATCTCTGGCCGAAGTGCATCTCCGACGGTGTCTGAGCAAGGAAGGCCAGCACCCATCATCACGACCATGGGAAGGACTAGAACCCCTAGCATCTACTCAGCACGCTTGATCGAGGTAACCAGTCCTCGCAGCCCTGGCACGGCCGCCCGCAACAGCCCGACACTCGATTCAAGCGAGCATATGCGCTTGTCACGAAGCAGTAGTCTCAGGACGGCTTCAATTACCGAGGAACGATCACGATATTCGCCGGACAGTGCTTCCGGGGCACGGATCTCCGGGCACGGCGGTAATAAATCGGCGTTATCTGCTGAAGTTGCCCCCGAAGAGGTCTCTCCTGTTACGGATGACGGTGCTCTCGAAGCGATTCCTGAGCCTCCTTCGCCAGAGGGTTTTGAGGGTCAAGATATGTCGAGTGGCTCTAACCCAATTCTAGGCTCGGTTGCGGAGCGTGGGTCTCCCGGCTCATCTCCCATCCGCTCCACGCCCAAGATTACAACCCCCACCGGTTCGTCTGGGACATTTTATTTTGAAGATAGGCCCAAACCACCTCCCAAGCACCACGCCCAAAGTCGCCCGAGGGTCTCCGTGATCACGGAGGTTGCTGCGCCAGAGATGTCTGATCGGAGTCCCAGCAGGAGGGCTCGCAGTAACCTTTCTGTGGAGGACCAACCGACTTCGATCGGGAAAATATCTGTGCAACGCTCTCGTGGTCGCAGCCCATCTGAGACGGGCTCTCTTCCTCGGTTCCCGGAACCGCCAAAACCTGGTGTAATGGTGCGACAGGAAACGGCCAGCTCAATATCGTCATCGTCTACATCGACGAGGTCGTCGAACAAGCTGAGGCTGGTAAGGACTTCGGAGGAAGGCTCAGCAGCGGCGCAATCCCGGGAAGATGTCGCGCGAAACTTTGAAGAGCTCATCCAGAGCGATCAGACCATCCAGTTCACGCTAACGCCCGAAAGCATGCGAGACATTGACGTAAGTTGGATACCACTCATTTAACTAGCGCCCGAAGGGATATTAACCTCCAGATACAGTCTCAGTCAACACGGTCCACCGGTAGTCCCATCATCGCTGTTAGAACCAGGAAGAGCCTGGATACCCGTCGCGACTCAGATCGGTCTCGATCATCGTCGTCTAATCGCAAAAGAGATGCCAAGAAGGATAAGGATGCCCACTCGCAGCATCCCATGCCCGAGTTGAAGCGCAACAGTAATAATAGCACAGCATCCGGCCCGATCCTGCATGCAATTCCACAACCCCCACGTCCGCACCCGCCGCAAGCGAGAGACCCAAGAATAAACCGGGAGTCGGTAGCAGACTTCGCCGACTTCATTCGCGCAACGGGTCCAACTGGTATCAACACTGCCGTCATGAACCGTAACTCAGGGCAGCAAAGCGGGCTCCGGAATGTCTCCGGGCCTGTTTCTCCCCCTTCTGTTCCCCTTATCACTGAGGCTCCCCGACCGACCACAAACAACAGCAACTACAATCGTCTGCGGCTCACAGCTCGTGAACCCCAGACTGACAGGGACGATAACTCCGATCTGATCGACTTCATCCGTCGCGGCCCACCTACCGCGGGCAATCCACGGATCCCGCAAGCAGTCGCTCCTTTCCGGAGCACGTTGGACTCTGATCAGATGTCTATTCTCGAAGTCGGCGGTAAAGCTGTGGATGCCCAGCTACGCGATGTTGATGTCAGAAACAGCCAGGCCTCGACCGATATCACCAATAACTCGATGCATTCATTCCAGTCATCGGTCAACTCGCAGAGTGCTCTGCTCAGCAGGAATAAGTCACAACATAGCACTGCAACCGGGCGCTTCGAAGGAATAGAGGAGGACGATGTGGTGATGCCAATGCCGTCAGCCATGCCACAGCGCAAGCGTCGCGGCCCACGAGACCCGTATGCCATCGACCTTACCGATGAGGAGGACTTCGATGAGGATGATGATTACCCGGTCAAGCCAAAACGACCACCGACAAACGAGGAGAGCTTGATGGACTTCTTGCGAAACGTTCCTCCGCCACCGGAACCAGTTGTTGCTCCCGTAATGACATCGCCCAAGGAGCCACAGCCGAAGAAAAAGTCAAGCGCCACGAGCTTGATGTCACGATTTACTAGACGCGAAAACAAGTCGAACGTCCCTCCAAGCTCGTCGAGCAGTATGAGCCCCCAAAGCCCCGTGAGGTTCAATGAATCCCGAGGCCTTAGCAGTCGTGCCAGCGCCAACAGCGGAAGGGGCTACACACCGATCCAAGTTCACATGCCTCCCGGCGTTGATCAATATGCACCACCTTCCTCCGTCAACCAAAACTCTGTCAATCACAACCAAAACATGCCAATGTCACGAGGGCGAGGCATGTCACAATCAAGCGGCACCACGGCCCCGCGTGTGGCCATGAAGAGGTTTGAGCCAAGGGATGCCTACGTAGCTCCCACCTCGGGAATCTCTGATCTGGCTTCGTTCCTGAAGAACTCGACGCCACCACCTAGCATGGGAGCTGCGGCGCCGTTCGATTTTGGTGGGCCGACGTCGTCGATTACCACTGCTACAGGTTCGAGGGGCGGGGATGGGGCTGGAGATTCTCATAGTTTCTCGAGGGTATTTTCAAGGAGGAGTAGGAAGGCGAGCGTTGTTTGAGCGGCATCCCACTACTGTCCTACATTTTCTAATTGCATACTACATACACACTACATTCATCACGCCAGTGCCTCTCTTCTGACATGGTTGGGCTGCGTATCATATCATCACATTACCTGGGTAGTTTTCTTTTCCATTATTATTGATACCATAACAAACGGAGGGTTAGTTTTGCCGATTGGACTTTGTTCGTTTTGCTTCTGCTTGTGTTAATAGTCCAAGCGTGCGTGGGGTGGGAAACCAAAATAGTACTACATGGATAATGTCTTGTCTTGATCATTACTCTTTTTTTTGCAACTTGTTAAATAGTAGTGTCTTGGATCTAGGGAGGGTCGTGGATCTAGGGAGGGTCGTTGCGTTGCGTTACTTTGCGTTGCATATAGTATTGGATGAGCGTGGTGAAGAAGCACAGAGGCATGGAAGGAAGCCCTAGAGAGAAATGAATGAAGAACATGTTGAAGCGCTGATCTTGCACGATATTCTTTCTGGCTCCTTTTTGATCTCATACATGTGATGATGTGTTGTGTACGATAGTGGTGTGTCTATTCCTCAGTAGAGGTATCTTGAACGTTTCATCCTGCCTGCCAGTCCTTCCTGGGATCGGACTCCGGTTAAACAGGATATCGATCTCACGTCAACTGGTTCCCTATCCACTCACCCACTTACTTCCGTGAAGTGCAAGAGTAACACCGAACCTACCTGACCTACCCACGTGCTCTCCAAATTGTAGCGGTAACAAGAAAGGTAACAGGAAGCTGACCACCATGTCATACCCGTTGCTACGGGGCACGGCACCTTTGTGGTTTGTGGCCGTTCCTCATCGGTGAGATGGTTGTGTGAAATGATTGTGTGAGATGAGATGAAAGGTTGTAGAGAGTAAGACGGATAATCTTCCATGATTAACGTGATACTTCCGGTAAGCTCTTCTTGCGTTGATGTAAGATGTGAGGTGGGAGTTGAGGTGGGAGTTGAAGTGTAGGTGGTGTGAAGTTGAAGTCTCTGTCAGACAGTCCTGATGAAGAGTTAAGGAGACATCTCGGCCAAACGATGGAGGGGATACGCCGTAGTTAACCTTGAGAAGACGATATGTCATCCATGGAGGCAGCACCTTGGGAGGTTTGGGTCATCTCTCTTCGCATTCCGAATCTGAATACCCACGGGAAGCCCTGGAAGCATATCTGATAATGGCATATCACGGGATGTGGGAGGCCATCACGTTTTCTATCCCCCTGGTCTTCTCTGGTCAGATAGTTGTACTTTGTGATTTCCAAGTCCTAATTATACGGAGTACATCAGCTCGGACGAAGCCCGTCGTCGTCCTCGTCGTCGTTTATCTATCGCTGAACACCCTTCACTAGGTAAACTAGCGGGCCGTCAATAGTTCATGTTTCTAGTGCCTCAATGGTGAATCCTTAGAATCCCCAGCTATCTGGTACCTGAGAATCTGGGCCAGCTGGGTGTTGCCGTTAGTTTCGGGCAAGAGTTACCGAAGATAGCATTAATCGCGGATGCGAGCGCTATAGCCTGTAGCACACACCCCCTTCGGACCTTCTAGAAGGATACCTACTGTCGACGGAACAGAGAGGAAAGATCTAGATTCCAACTACACTAGATCAAGTCAGGCCATATTTCCGTTGTTCGGGTTGCTTGCGTTGCTTGTTCCTGTCGGCGTGCCCAGCATCTCAAGACATTGAGACATTTTGGGGTCTTTGGGGGAATGTAGGAGAGTCCCAGTCGTCGGTCGGCGCGGCCGGGTAATGAGCCTAATGAGGTAGTTTGTTGCGCGTGAATAATGGATGGTGATAGGGTCGGGAGATACGTAGGAGGACAGTGTCAGAGCCTGGGTAAAATGGTCAGTATGTGCCCAGAGACCTGGGAGATCTTCAGTTGTCTTCACACGGTTCTGTGACGAACGATCGTCGAAAGGAAGAAGAATTCCCAAGAGAAAGGTTCGTCCCGCTCGTGGGTTCTCCCGTTCGTCGTCGGAAAAGAATACGGAAACGCCAAGCGAAACCGAGGATCTGGATACGCTAAATGGTCCGGTCTTCAACGTGATGGCTGTCGATACCCTCGCTCCCTCATCACTCCCACTTGCATGCGTACAGGAACTTCGCCCGTTCGTGCGTCTTTTTGTCTCACGATCATGCCATATTCCTCTTTTTCCAGAAAGCCTCAAAGACAAGAAAAGATCGAGAAGATCGAGAAGAATCCATCACCTCATTGGAGTTCAGCTTCTCAGGCCTTCTTCCCTTCCCTTTCATTCGCTTCGCACTAGAAGAAGCCCTTCGGAAGTGTCCTAATCCCAATCGCTACAAGTCCATACACAGTGTCAGAAGCATCTACTGGAAGCGAAAACACTCAATCATCGCTGGAGTCCTGAGTGGAAGTCTTGGAAGTCTTGGAACCTTCCTTCCTTCCTTCGAAAGGTCCAAAAAAAAAAAAAGCTGGGCGCTCTAGAACGTTCGAACGCTCAAGCGCAAAAAGGGAACCGAAGCGAGAAAAATAAAACATCAGGCCATTTCGTCTATCAAACTGTTAGTGATGAGCTGAGGAGGCTGCTTTTGCCCGGTCAACTGGGACCTCACTGGGACCCAGTGGTGCGGGAGGGGTGACATTGGCGAGACGGGAGCAAGGGAGGAGCGAGGGGGAGGAGAGGCTTATGTATGTACCTCAAAGAGTGACAGAACATGAAAGGTGTTCCCATTCTGACGATAATGGCGCTGATGGGTAACATTTCTAAGATTGAAACGTGCTCGCGCCATCATCCTGTCCTGGGCCTGCTGGGCTGTTACCTGTCCGGCCGGGCGGAATCCTGTTCCATCCCATCCGCCTGGGTCGTTGAGGTGTGGTAAGTAGGGTCACTTTCCTCGGCCGGCTGAAGCGAAGGAAGAACGGAAACACATGGCGGTTAACAGCACACAGTAGATATTCTTATAGCCGATTTCCGATGCCAAAAACAGCGTACAGTATGAGTTCCCTTTGAGAAGAATGGCCGCCGCGTCGTGTCGTGTCGTGTCGTGTCGTGTCGTGACTACCGTGACATGCATACATCATGTAGGGCAAGGCAGGTGATTTGCAGACTTGCAGTGAACATCACACGCCGACGAGCATGCCTTACGTTCGGGCGTCGGTACTCGGAACCTTGATGTCCACTTTTTGGTGTTTCGCTGTTCGCTAACAATTATCGCTGACGGGTTGGATTTTAGGAGTGCTGTAAGCCACTGTCACTATCATCATCGCCATGAAGACAGAGACATGCCTAAGCTCCGAAACCTCACAGACTTACTATCGAATGAAACGGGAATTAAACATGATCCATTGGGGACTTTGTGATATTCTGTCCTGCCGTAATTCGTGGTATTCGGACTTAGTAGCGGATCGCAACATACGATAAGTGTTATCTCAGGCCGCTAAGGCAGCCACCACCAGCTACATGATGCACCGCCTGTATCACCTGCCTTGCCCCACTGTAGTTACCCACTAACACCAGTGACGCCGTCATCTGAACTTCAGTCACCTCTCATCAGCCAACGGGAGCGAACCGTAACCTCACTTCACGAAACAATCACCACACCGATTGCGAAAAAGAAGCAAAGAAGGGAACCCGAATACCATCAACTACAACCCTCGATAACCGATTTGTCTTTGACCGGCCAAGTTTTACTGCATGAAACAGTAAAAGCCCCTGCCAATCTCACTTCGCCGCAAACCCCCGAAAGACAAGGCCGGAACATCGCCGCCCTCACTGGCGCCGCAGGCAGGACAGGAAGAGAGGACATCCCACATCCCACTCCGTGTCACCCACACTACCCACCTGCCCACCCGGTCGGCGACGTTTAACCTGTCAGGCCAAGTCAGGTTAGCCTCAGTCAACCCAACAGACCCGGTCCGGTCCCGGTCCCTGAGGCAGCCAAGGACCAGGTTAGCCATGGCATCTCCAAACCCCTACTCCCACTCCCCACAGCTTCCGCAGCGCGAAGAGTCCCCTTACCAAGAAGACCAATACCAATCATCTCTTTCCTTCCGGTCTACATATCCGTTCCGATCCTCACGAGGGGCCGGGTCCGGTACCGGTCTCGTTCTCGGCCACGGCCACAGTCCCGGGTTCACTAGTAGTCTCCGGGGCGGAGGCGGAGGCCCGGCATCCGAACACCGATACGGATCCGGATCCGGATCTAGAGACGGCAGCCATGACGACCTTCCCCAAAGGCCACTATCATCCACCACCTCATCCACCGTAACCCCCCGGCATGCCCCATTACTTCCCAAACCAAAACCAACCTCCATCCCCGAAACCCTCTGGTCCCTCCAAATCCCTCTCTACATCACCCACCAATCACACCCAAAAACGCCCTACATCTGCTCGGTCCCGCGGTTCAGTTATCTCGCGTTGCTGCTGCCCCGGCTGACGGCCTACTACGGCACTCCGTGCTCGAGTTTTCACCATGAGGAAGTCCACCTGCGTAACTTGAGCGTCGGACTGCTGGTGGATCTGTACCAGCCGAGTGAAATGCCGTGGAGGTTGGTGGTGGGCGATGGGGATGGGTGGGATATTTGTGATACTTTTATGAATAGTGCTAAGGAGGTGGGTTTTTCTGGTCTGTGGCGAACGGGGAGACTGGATCTCGCTGAGCAGTTTAGAGACGAGACTGATGATGAGTGACTAGGCGGATTTTATCCGAAATGGAAATGCAAAACGGATCATGGGTTTGAGTAAAGAGCATACGACGGCGTTGTGGAATGCTGTGCAGGATAGTATGTTTTTCTACTCTTCTTCCTACCCTTTTTTGTTCTTTTCTCCCAAATGGAGACTGACTAACTGAGTGCAGATGACTACCAAGCCTTCACAAAAGTAAACACCCACCTCCTCAACGCCCCCACAGCTCTCAAAAACGTTCCAATACGCATTTACATCCCTTCCTCACCACCTTCATCGGACAACAACAAAACCCAAGCAGCCGGCTCTTACCGCGTGATGCAAACCCTTGTTCCTCCACGGGGTTCAAATAATCGTAAGTCTTTCCCGTTTGCTTCACCCCCCCAACCGTATTAGTACTAACTCTCAAAAGGAACACCCCAAACCCTAGGCCAAGCCCTTAAATCCCTCCTACCCGCCCTCTTCCCCAGCAGCCGGGACCCCGTCCTGGCAAACGTCATCTTGCACGGAGCTCCCGTGCCCTTTTTGGCACCGCTGGAGGAGTTGATGAGGGACGCGGCGTATCCGGATGGGTGGCTTTGTTTGATTGTTGTTTTGTTGTGAAAGGTGTGAGCGTGGGTGGGTGTTCATGAGAGGGTTTGTTAGGGTGGTGAACTTTGACGGTTGATGGATTATGAAGGTTAAATAGCGATGGATAGGGGAATTGTGGAAAGAGTGCGTGAGTTAAGATATATGATAGTGGTGGATGGATGGATGGATGGATGGATGGATGGATGGATGGATGGATGGATGGATGGATGGATGGATGGATGGATGGATGGATGGATGGATGGATGGGTGAGGATGTAAAGCCGCAAGTTTGATTCGATGAATGAGGTTATGAGCTTCACGCAGGGTGTATCAATGTACCAATAGCGTCATGAATGAATTTACGAAGAACTTGGTTGACACTTGTAGTAAAAATTGCCAGCCGTTAAAAACAGACTACTTTAATAGAGTTGGGTAATTTTGTTTGTGAATTTATGATTCCTCCGATGCTATTCCCTATCCCTTCGCTCACACCACCGGTACTTTTGAAACCAATAGAGTGGATAGGTAGATACAAGACAAAAAAAGTAGATATGACAAAAAGATGACAAGTACCTAAAGAAAAATGCAGACATGCAGCGTACAAACATTTCACACATACAGAGACAGACAAAATGGTATATCCTCCGCGGACCAGCTTCCTTTTTTGTACCCTCCCTCTCTCGACTAATGTATAGCTTTTCTTTTCGCGCTCCTCCCTCACCAGCTTGAAGACGCCTATGCAAATGCAAGAGACAGGTCGAGTTGACTGATGTTTGTTTGTTGTTGTTGTTGTGTTTTATGTGATCAATGTGTGTTTGGTTGTTTGGCGGTTGTTTATGGTGGATGACGGAGGGTCGGTCTGGTTGTAGTAGGGAGTGAATGTTTGATGGATTTGACGAGTAGTTGTTTGTGGTTGTTTCAACATCTTCCCTTTAGCTTGACGGTCCGAAGAAACTTTGGTTTTGAAGGTGGGAATGCCGGAAGCGTTTGAGCTGCACAGTAGTAGTAAGATGTCAAGGACTGAGTGAGATTGCTTGATTGGTGTGGGTATCTGATGAGGATAGATAGACAGGTAGGTATGTATGTAGTTGGTAGGTAGTTGGTAGGTAGATAAGGTTGACAGAATAGGTGGGTAAGTGACAACGCCGGAGCTGTATAGCAGAGATGCTCTCTTCATTTCTCTCTCAAGATATGCTGATGCAGATAGGTATTATGCAACCCCCGTGTGTATGCCATGATGCATCCTATGTATGAGTTGATATCCAAGGAAAGGGACAGTATCGGGTCCACCTCTAGTTCGCGCATGCTAACCAACATCGACTGACGACCCTTCACTTGTTACGCTCGCTCACAATGACCTCCATCCTCCTCTTTCTGTTTGTACACAAAGGGAATTATGGCTTTTGGACCAAGTGTAATAGAAATCCTTCACAGTTTCCAAAATACTAAAACATGTATGGTGGTTGAGATACAAAATCTCCCTTAAAGGGGGTGTGAATGTTGATGTTGGTGTTGGTGTTGGTGTTGGTGTTGATGGATAGGAGGTAAAGGAGGCATCATGCCATCTTGGGGCCCGTGGCCATGCATGCTATTTTGTATTGGCGGCATCGGACTCCTTGGCATCTGTGGTGATGGTCCCGGCGGTCCCGGCGGTCCTGGTGGCCCTGGTGGTCCTAGTGGTGGTGCAGAGTGTGCTGTCGGCCTAGGGCCCGGGGGCGGCGGTGGCGGGCCTGACAATGGTGTGCCCACAAAGGAGCTAACATGGTGATTGTTATCCATCATGATGTCTACACTGTTGGGCTTGTGCCACAACTCGCGCTCCAAGCCCTCGAGAATGCGCATGTCAACAGACAGTGCGCTTGTTGGCTGGGCGATGATCCTGAAAAAGGCTATGGTCCTGGCGAAGAGCTCCTTAAGCGTCTGCTCGTTAACATGACGATGAAGTGTTGGATCCTTGAACACCGCTGCGAGTGTGAGGAGGTTACCCCATTGGCTGTGTATTAAAGATCAGTAACATGTATGTAGCTGAATCATACCGAGTGAAACTTACGCATGCGCAGTGCCAAAGATGTTAGTGACAACAAACCGCTTGTCTGGCAGACCATGGAAAGCCCTGGTGCTCTCAATCAGAGCCCGGATTCCCTTCTTCGCATACTCAATGGTATCCTGAGTGATCTCGCCATTCACGCTGTGCATCTGGGTATCGAGAGGAGTCATAGCGTCACTGGGGGTGCTCGCTGGCATCGGGGATTCGGCTGTCGCCATCTGAGCCACATTTGACTCCAGAATCTGTCGGATGTACGGCCTGTAGGTGATGACTTGGGCTCCCCAGTACTTGGCACGTAGTCGGGCGGAAAGAAGGTCTCCAGCTGGCGGATCATCGTGCGTGAACTTGTACTCGGGAGGGACGAAGCGTAGATCGAGAGATTTCGTGATGACCTCGATGATATTTCCTGGCGGGGTGCCGTTTTGCGCCTTTAGTGATCGCGGATCCTCGGGGTTATAAAGCATTTGATGAATTTGGTTCAAGGACTTTCGGAGGTAAAGCTGAGCAAGGTAGCTTTGCAGGACATGCTCCTCGAAGCCGTGCATCTTGGCCAGATTGATGTTAGGATACGGCATAATCTCCTCAAACGCAAGGATGTGGGATTGTGGGAGAGGGAGCTCGGCCACGATGTCACTATGGTATTCATGTTAGCCTCTTCCTCTTCACTTTTGAACGCCGTTGCCCACCTTTCAAGTTGCAGACATGTCCAAAAGGCAAAGACGATCTGATTATCCGACTTCTCCTTCACGGCATTAATATTAAATGGGTGGTTTTCTTGAAGTTTCTTCAGCCGATCGAGGCTCCTGTTCTTGGGGTTAGCCCTCCCTCAGTCAAAAACCTTAGCACAAGTTTACTTACGGTCTCATCTTGATCTGCAAAGCCCAGCCAGCCTCCTTGATGTAGGCATAGCTTTCCATGACTCTTCCCATCTGCCCATGATACAAACCCGCCAAGATGTACGCGTGAATGTGCCGCAGGCTCGTTCCCGCCAGCTGCCCTCCCAAGATATCTGTCGCGTATGCGAAATAGTCCAGGCCCGGAATCACATCCATGTTCCGTTTGAGTGATCCTACCCTCATAGAAGGCGCGCCACCTCCCTGGAACGACTGCCGCCTGCTAGGACCCGACCTATCTGCGCTATCCTTTGGCGAAGGTAGACCCGCCGAGTGAGAATGTGAACCATAGGACGGCGGAGATCCCTGTATAGGAGAGGCGGGATATCCGTTGCGTACCATTGGCGACCCATGTGAAGGCTCACTCACAGGCACGACATCCGGAATCTTTCTATCCTTGATCAGACAAATTTTTCCCAGAGCAAGAACCAGCAACACAAGCGCGTTGTTGATGGACCGCTGAAATGTCGGCTTCCCCGACCTCGGTAGCATTGATGGCGAGTCTGCGCCGTCGGGTGCCGGGGAGCGCTTCCTTTTGACCCCTGTCTCACCCTGCGAGCTCAGCGGCGGCGCTCCAACGAACTTTGCGATTCCAGCACTACCCTTAGGTTTCTTGGTGCTTTGCTGGATGCCATCCAAGAACAAACGCACCATCGCATGCAGCTCTCTCGGTATTATGAGCGGATGCATATTTTGAATGTTGTCCAGATAGCTCTGCACGTACTTCCAGACGGTTTCTTCCGAAAAGTCCAATGTCTGGACTCCAACCATGGTAGACCTGTGGTCCATCGGCCCAGGTGAGCCGCTAATTCCGCCCCAGCAATCCGCAGGTGATGGAGCTCCCGTTTCCGAGTAGTCGTCAATAACTTCCATCATACCCAGGTTGTGGTTGGACTCTCTGTCCATGCGGCTGCTGTCGAGACCTTCTCCTCTGCCCCATAACCTAAGAAGTCCCCGCCTCTCTTCCTGTCGAATAGGATATTCTTCGACAAACTTGATGTTCTCGACATCCAGATAGCGTTGCGCTAGGCGCTTTATCGACTTCCACTTCAGAAGAAGGGCAGCCAGTGTCGTATGGTTCAGCGGGATGGCGGGCGCTCCAGGTCGTACAAATGGGCCAGGCTCTTGTTCCTTCTCTTCGTCCATGTTCTTCGTAATGTTGCGCGCCTCCTGTGTATCTATAGGAGCCTGTGTCCTTGTTGCGTTTTCCGAGCCTCCTGGCGACGATGAGTTGTAGCCATCTTCGATGGCTGCTGAGTCAGCAGAACCCGGACGATCATCATCCGACGACATCATTTCCGGATGCGCTTCCAACGCAGGCGCGACGCGTTCCAATCTCTTCTCCAGTCTCGTAATGCGATGGTTGAACATGCTGAAGTCGCTTCTCAAAGCCATCAGGTTCTCCAAGATATCGGCCGCCACTTTGTCTTGTCTGTATCGTTTTGTCAGCAATGCGACAACCACCCGACAACCGGTATACAAGTACGTACTGCTTTGGTACCGCCTCGCGGTACTTGCATTCAACCTTCTTTTCCTTGCAACTTTTACAGGGTTTAAGCTCATCACATTTGGCTTTCAGCTGCCGGCACATATCACAAGCCTATGGGGCAGGTTAGCTTTTATGTCTATAGCGCAAACCTTGCTTGATCGCAAGTTGCGTGTATATCCTTAGCTAGGACCCAAACCGACCTGCGATGCTCTTTGCGCCTTGCGCTTTCCCGCCGCTGGGGCAATCTGGATATAGGGAAGGTCGCCATGGTGTCCATAGTGAGGAGGGTAGTCGTATGATGGTTGACCATGCGCCATAGGCGTCTGAGGAGGGAAACTCGGCTGTCTGTACATGTTTTGTTGGGGGCCATTGTCGAAGCTCATATGGCGTTTATCTTCAGGGTAACCTTGGTGAGGCAGAGCTGACATCGGGGTCCCTGGTGTCATGCCGTCGGGAGCATGGCCCGTCGAATTGGGCCTCCTTAGGTGTGGTGGAGTGTTGCTATCGTCGGTCGGGTCCTGCTTCACCACAACTTCTCTCGGAGGATGGTATCCAGGGTTGTACTGGTGGTGTGCTGGTGGTGGCTGAGATGAAGGATGATGTTGTCGGTGGTGGTCTTGCATAGGCGGATATCGGTCGGGCTCATGATGTCGCCGGTCGTCGACGGGGCCTTGCTGCGATGGAGCCGGAGGCGGCGGCGGCGGCGGCGGCGGCGGCGGCGGATGGGGATGCGAGACAGCAGGCGCGGCGCCGGGATCACCAGGACCTTGGGGTCGTGAGAACGGGTGAGGGGAGGTTTGTTGATATCGCGGCGAAGGCGTGGGGTGGTTAAGATGATGAGGATGTTGAGGATGCTGTTGACCAGCAGTCGGAGATGGCGTGGGATGTAGGAGCGACACACCGTGGTGCGCACCACCTGCTGACCATGATGAGGCAGTTGACAGACGGGGTCGTTTTGGGTCGGGCGGGCCTGGGTCCATGCTGGGTAATATGTATGTGTATCCGTATTACACAGATACACCGTTTACGCCAAACAGCAGTAGCCAAAGGGGGTAGACAGTTCAGACGACAGGCGGGAGCAAGCAGTAGCCCAAGCGCATAAGCTGTGGCAACACCATGGAGCTTTCCGAACAACAAGCCCTAGTATTCCGGACCCAGGAACAGGGCAACAAGGGACCTAAGACAGAGCTTGCCAGGAGTAGGACCCGTACAGTCGGAGTCCAATGTAAGAGGCGAGAGAGGGGGGAGCAAGCTTCGGGGCTTCAGGGTTCGCGCGCAATCATAGGAAAGCAAGGCCACGGGATGAAGCTTATTGGTCTGAAAGGGGCATAAGAGCCGTGCGGGCGCGGTGGACAGCGTAGGTAGGTAGGTAGGTAGGTAGTCGTAAAATGTCTTATGTGGGTATGGGGGTGAGAAGACTCGGTAGCCTGTCGAGGTTTCGAAGACTCTGGAGTCTAGAGGGTGTAGGCACGTGGGGAGGCGCGTAGGCTGAGGGATCCGGGCCGGCGCCGGACAGACGTAACCTAAAGCGAGGGCCCCTGCGACTTTGTGTCAAGCCTCTTCTCAGCTCACACCTAGCTTCACGTCAACGAGGCTCAAGCCAGACAGGCCGCAGACAGGCCAGACAGACCAAACAGTTGGGCAGCAATGGAAGAAGTTGCCTGTTCGAGATTGGGGCGCTTGCGGGCAGGTGGGGAGCACGGGGAGTCTGGAAAATCCAGAACTCGGTTGAAGGATATGTGTGATGGGGACCGGTGCTGTAGTAGCCCGGCACGGGCAGGGGAACAGGTCGGGGATTCGGATAGGACGATCAGGTGGAACGAAGGGGGCTTTCTCGCTGGCTTGGGTGTTGTGTGGCCTGTAATGTAAAAGTGTACATACCTAGTAGCTGTACGTGCTTGGTGTTTCTGACCGTGACACCTGGCGTGTGTGTCTTTTTGGTGTCTTCTTTTCTCTGTGGTCGGTTTGCCTCGTCGTCAAACCAAGTGACCAGCTTGGGGAAAAAAGAGACGGTCAATCAGCGTCGAGTGCGGAAGAGAAAAAAGGAAATGGAATTTGGAGCTAGTCCATCCTCATCGAGAATCCGGCAGACTCCAGCCAAGCCAGTACCTCTTTCCGGTGGATCCCCGTAGCTTCGTTCGGTCGACGGCGCAATCAGAGAGAAGCAAACGAGTGGGCCTCGAGCTCACTCTCGTCCGGGGTCTTGCCTGTATTCGCGGTCGAGTGCTTGCGCATGTGCCTGGCTTTCACTTTTGCTCCTGTCGATGACGGTTGACCAGCGGAGTCCTGTCTTTTTCGTTCTCCCGGCTCGTTCTCTTGTCTTTTCTTTCTGTCTTTCTTTTTGTTCCTTCTTTTGTTTCTCATTCGTCTTCCCGTCTGCTCCTTTTTGCGGGGAAATCTGGATAAGCGGTGACACCAAGGGGCTGGCCCCTGGACGTGAATCCTAGCAGTTATACCTCAGTACTGTGTAGTTAATGGTAGGTCCTGAGTGGTAAGGCGTCGTCGTGACAGGCCACTGACGCGTGTTGTAGCCTGCGGATGCTGCGACCACACAGTATTAGACAGTCTCGCACTCGGGGACCCTTAATGAGAGAATGCGTGCTGTTAATAACTATGGGTTGATGATAGGGCTTCCAGGTTGCGCGCACACTACTATCTCCTATATTCCCGTCGTCTGTTGTGCCGCGCAATACTCCAAGGTCTTGGATGAGTAAGGATGATAGTGCAAAGGCCGCGGGTGAGCGCGAAGACCAGTCAAGGTAGGATGATCACTGTAGATTCGGTACGTTTTCGTGTCGCTATGCTGCCGTGCAGGTAACTTTTGAGGCCATAAAGGTGGTATGTCAAGCGGTAGTTTGTGGATACCGACCGCCAAGTTCACGGCTCGCTAGATGATTGGCGTGGAGTGTCGAAGGAGCTAGCGGTTTTAGTACAGCATATCGTGAGGTATCTTTTCTTGATACTGTGTTCGCAGAAGCAAGAGGTGGCCGAGTCTCTATGTTGGCGCGCGGCGCGAGAACAGAGAGAGGACAACGTTTCGGCGCAGGTGGCGCCCGAATCCAGCTGGTGAAAGAAGCAGTTGCAAAAGGACAACAAGCGGCGATAATAATGCTACCGATAAAAGTGACGACGTACTAGCCCTCCGTGGCCCACGCCCTCCTGGTACTGTCGTGACAGAAGTGACAAAGAAACCATTTCCGGGGGGTCGCGCGGGTCATCACAATGGTGTGTGCCACCCATACGGTATCGTAGTAACGGGGCGCTGACCTTGCATGTACGTAGGCAGTCTCAGATTCCAAGATACCACACTCCCTCGACTTCCTCAACGGGGTATGTGGTAGAATCCCCATCGTTCTACTCTCAGCTATCCGCTAGCATAGCAGCAAGAGGCACTGCATCAGAAGGATCAGTCTTCTCAGCAACTGAGATGTCCGAGATGGTTTTGGTCAGCAAGGACATTGTCAACCGAGATGACAATTGTGACTCGTTCTGACGGCTGACAGCGGGCTGTTGTCCAACGAGCGGCAAGGCGCAACGGGTGGTAGTGATGGTGGTAACATCCATCCCCATAGTGGCGTGGATAGGTGCCGGAGTGAGCTCAAGTGACTGAGGTGGGGTTCGCGAGGTTGCATGTTCTCATCCCTCATCTTCTGCATCACAGCATGATGGTGAACTTGCCAGGCTAGAAGAGGGCGGGGCCAAGATGGGGGAGGAAAGGTCATCTTCTTTACCATCCCTCCAACATGTCCAATATTTGTTGCTGATGGACAGGGGCTGATGGGGATCCCGTACCGCGTCACCACGACATGTAGCCCGTACGCAATGTTCTGTACTTCCGCGCCTCAGCACTATGGGAGGAAGAAGTCGATACGACGTCTGAATGGTACCCGGTACAGCACATGTACGTTGCCGGTCTCGCTCTCAGCATTGGCATACCCACCAACCATTACCACCAGCCGGCGCTCCGAGCTAACATAGTCACCTCAGTCGGAGTCACGGGCTCACAAAATTCAGAGCCTGTCAGCCTTGGCTCGTTCGGCATTCTTCTGAGGGGCGGGTGTCGTGATAAAGACTAGCTATAATAAGGCCTCTCGATGACAGTGTCCGCAAACGATGTGGGCGTGGCCAGCCGCCCGAAATCCGAAAAACAGGATGGCTGATATGAGATCCGATCACCATCAAAAGATCCGCATGGAAAAGGTCCGTGCTTGCTCTTCCGCTTTGGTGGTACGTGGAGTGTTACTTGGGAGCAGCGAGTTGAGTCGTTTTGCGAAGGGTACTTTGCATCGTGTTCAATTTCCAGAGTGGATGTCCATATTATTGCCATTAGTCACCAGCAGTGCGCTGCACGTGAACGGGATGCCACTGTCCAGTGTCCACGGCTGGAATTGGAAATTCTCCTTGTGTCGCGATATTCGATATCCGGTAATATCATGTCGAGCCCCCCGAAGGAACGATATGGCACGATAGTTGCTATGTAAGGCACACAACACATTGTCCAATCCGAACTCGGAGCTTTCCAGGCGAGATCAAATGGCTTTCACTGTGTCCCGTAGCCAGCGACGATGACGATCGGATCCTCTTTTCCTCGCTTTTGCTATCAAGCCCAGGACGAGAGCGGAAAAGGCCGTATGTCCTTGTCTTTGTGCCCTTGAGGCCCGAACGAGGGGAGTGGAAAGCGGGATGGCCGGTCGCGGACTGGGGCTCTTGGAGGTTGATCACCGTCGGGTGAGGGTGTGGTACCTGGCGAGCTAGCCTTTGCACGGCGACATGGTGGTTGATGTCTGGTGCTTCAGCTTCAGGGCTTGGGGTTTGCCTTTCGGTAGTGGTGATTGGTTGACTGATGACTACGGTTAGCGGCGGGGTGCTAGCATGCAAATAAAGAGATTGCGGATTGCGGCTAAATACATACCTCGTAATATCAACAGCGACGACTTATCTCAAGTCTCAACAAGGTTCACGACATCCGCCTTGTCGCAGTGCTCAACCTCGGATATCATGGCTGTGGTAGGATCGGTGCATCAAGAGAAAAGATTTGTGCTCAATTCTCTTGCTTTTTCCCAAAGTTGTGGCTCCCTGACGCAAGTACTGACGGGCAGTTGTCGACCACTCCTGCGCTGCAATTTTTTTGCAAGATGGACAACTCTTGCCGCATCGGCGTCAACCCAGGCCATGGGAAATTGCCATGTCCTCTTCGGATGAGCAGAAAGGCAGGCACGTCGGCGTCGCTCCTGCTGATTGATGTACACAGTGCATGGGGCGGGCCTGTGCGTCGGCCTGCCATGGAAATTTACATTGACCCGTGCGAACCATGTATTACGATTGGGCACAATCTGAATGTCTTCAACTCAAGGGTCTTTCAGTCCAGAGCCGTCATGCCGCATCCAGCTAGCGCGTCTACCATCCGCTAACCTACCGCAGTCAAGTGCTATAGCAACACCTTGGAAGTCGCAGGCTCGCAGCCAAGGGTGCTCTCCCCAGGCTTCCCGTCACCAGGCACAGCCGAGAGCCTCTTTCCCTTGCAAGCGCCTTCCACGAAATCTTCGATAAACGGGCTCCTTCCCGTCGATTCTCCAAATTACCCTCCCGTTCTCGTGCCTTCTCCAGCTGCCATGAGTTCATCCAGACTCTCGTGTCGTCCCACTGCGGCACCCGTGCCTGGAAAGAAGTATAAGGAATGAGCAGCTCGGGCAGGCTGAAAGATACCTCTGGGGTGAAGGTCTCCCTTCCGAGTTCATTGGCTGTGCAGTTGTATCAGAACTTGGGGAAAAAACAATAGGTCCCCTTTCGAAAAAAGAAAGACAAACATCCAACAACATGGTCATGCACAGCCCTCAAGACGTCGACGTACAACAGCATATTTTCCCAACAAAACATGCGGGGTTAGAGGTGTTGCTTGCTTCACTCCCTATCAGACACACAGAAACTGAGACTGGCCAGTCTTGGGACCCTCATGTATCTGTTGCCCTTTGTCCTTCTT